TTCGTCCAAGGTGACTATCTCTGTGGAAACCCGCTCAGTCCAAGATGACTTTTACTCGTGGAAATCCCACTCGGTCAAAGTGATTTTTACTCGTGGAAACTCGCTCGGTCAAGGTGACTTTGCTCGTGGAAATCCGCTTGGCCAAGGTGACTTTACTCGTGAAAATCCGCTCGACCAAGGTGACTTTACTCGTGGAAACCCGCTCGGTCAAGGTGACTTTACTCGTGAAAATCCGATCAGCCAAGGCGACTTTACTCGTAGAAATCCGCTCGGTCAAGGTGATTTTACTCGTGGAAACCCGCTCGGTCAAGGTGACTTTACTCGTGGAAACCCGCTTGGCCAAGGTGACTTTACTCGTGGAAATCCACTCGACCAAGGTGACTTTACTCGTGGAAACCCGCTCGATCAAGGTGACTTTACTCGTGGAAATCCGCTCAGCCAAGGCGACTTTACTCGTGGAAATCCGCCTGGCCAAGGTGATTTTACTCGTAAAAACCCGCTCGGTCAAGGTGACTTTACTCGTGGAAATCCGCTTGGCCAAGGTGACTTTACTCGTGGAAATCCAGTCGACCAAGGTGACTTTACTCGTGGAAACCCGCTCGATCAAGGTGACTTTACTCGTAGAAATCCGCTCAGCCAAGGCGACTTTACTCGTGGAAATCCGCTCGGCCAAGGTGATTTTACTCGTGGAAACCTGCTCGGTCAAGGTGACTTTACTCGTGAAAATCCGCTTGGCCAAGGTGACTTTACTCGTGGAAATCCAGTCGACCAAGGTGACTTTACTCGTGGAAACCCGCTCGATCAAGGTGATTTTACTCGTGGGAATCCGCTCAGCCAAGACGACTTTACTCGTGGAAATCCGCTTGGCCAAGGTGATTTTACTCGTGGAAACCCGCTCGGTCAAGGTGACTTTACTAGTGGAAATCCGCTTGGCCAAGGTGACTTTACTCGTGGAAATCCAGTCGACCAAGGTGACTTTACTCGTGGAAACCCGCTCGATCAAGGTGACTTTACTCGTGGAAATCCGCTCAGCCAAGGCGACTTTACTCGTGGAAACCCGCTCGACCAAGGTGATTTTACTCGTGGAAATCTAGTCGACCAAGATGAATGTACTCGTAGCAATCTTTTCACTATGCGTGGTGGTGCAAAAACTGTGGTCTCTCATGGCCTCTGGCTCAATGTGCCTGATTATGATGTTCTCACTAAGCTTGTGAAGCCAAATGCGAGAAACTACAGGCAAATTGATCTCTCATATAACTGATTTATTTTGCTTACCTTTTTTAATAATAGTTTAAATATTATGCATAAAACTACTCTTTTTGTCTTGCTTATTTATTAGTCTTGGTTATATGTATATAGGTACGTTGATGCCGTTATGACCATCCCCAAGGGAACTCTTTTCTCTATGTGTGGTATGAACCTCGCTTTTGATCGTGAGCTGATTGGCCCAGTTATGTACTTTGGGCTTATGGGAGATGGGCAACCAATTACAGGTTACGACGACATGTGGGCTGGTTGGTGTATGAAGGTATATATAACTCTCTTTTAGTTTGTCATCTGACGATATTTATTCAAGTTTTCGGACAGTTATCTACTATAATGTTTTTGACAATGAATAATGGATAATGTAGGTAATATGTGACCACATGGGATGGGGAGTAAAGACTGGTCTGCCTTACATAGACCACAGAAAAGCTGGCAACCAATTCGAGAATCTGAAGAATAAAATCAATGGAATATTCTGGCAGGAAGAGGCGATACCTTTCTTTCAAACAGTGACACTACCTAAAGAATGCACTTCGGTGAAGGAATGCTACCTAGAGCTAGCTAAGCTCGTGAAGGAGAAACTTGGAAAAGTGGATCCTTACTTCATCAATCTTGCAGATGGAATGGTCACTTGGACTGAAGCTTGGGATGAGCTTAACACCCCAAAGGGGAACTAAAAAAACACCAGACTCGCATGGCAGATAAGTAAAAAAGAGTGACGTTGTTTATAAATAAGGTCGATGGTATGGTCACATGCGTAATCAATCCTCTATGTTTCTTGTGTTTATAATTTCCATATGCTTGTGAATGGTCTTGTTGTACATAGGTATAATAAAAAGGTGGTGTAATATGTGTTCTTATGTTCTGTATTGCCTTTATGGCTAAATATCTATGAAATATAATGGGAACATTATTATAGTACTGGTTTGGGTTTCTTTTTTTTCCTTCTTGTTGGAAGCAGTTTGGATGACTGTGGATGGATAGTCAGCTAAACATTTTTATCTACAGCAATACAAAAGAGCAGAAAATTATATGTTTGTATTTGTAGTTGGTAGTTTTTCTATCTCTGCATCCAAATTTGAGTAGTGATTCTTTTGCTCTTTGTAGAAAAAACAAAATAATGCGAAGTCATAATCATGAATGTTTTAGTTGAGTGATGATATGGAGGAATAGTCTAAAGAGGAGTTACTTCAATACGGAAACAGAGATTGAGGCATAATCTAGATTCATTTATGACTATTCATTGGCTGGCATTTTATATTGAGCTCACAAAGTTTAATGGCCTTTCTTGCCATAAACAGGGCCCAAAACGATACATTGGGATTCAGATATTCGAATTCGAACTTAACTCACCGTGTACAATAGTCAATACTGATATACTCTAACCTTTGACGAAAGTTTTAATTGGTAATTGGTAACCAAGATCATGTAATACCAATGATATTCTTAAATTTCTTGAAAACAATAAGTCAAAATATAATAAGATAAATGTTTTTCTTAATTATAAAAGATTGATCACATTTCACAATTTCTTTACAACGATAAGAAAAAAAAATAAGTATAACAAAAACAAAAATTAAATATACGATAAATAGTCTAATTACAAAACATAAAGTAAAGCTAAAATGGAGGCGGAAAGACAAGTGTGGAATCAGAGAACTTTCACAAGTGGTGCAAGAGAGGTCAATTAAGAGCACCAACATCAGGGGTTCAGGCTGAGTATCAGGCCCAAAATCCAAGACGAAATCCACAAAAAAAAAGAAAAATGGCCCATTTTTAACGAGCTCGTATCGTCCGGACGAGCCTGATGATATCGGATCGTCGGGACGTGGCGGCACGTGAATGGCTGAAAAAAAGAGAACATTTTCGGGGCCCAAAAAAATTGAACCCATTTTCATTTCTCTTTTTTCTCTTCTTCTCCTCGAAAACCCTAGGCGATTCTGGAGGCGATTTCGTGGTGGCCAGCGATGACGCGAAAACAACCGGTGAAAAGCTCTTCCCATCGTCGACCATCCATACGTAGCATCCAGGTTAGTCTTCATTGTCCTTTTCGTGCTTGATTTGAAATCGAATCGTCATTTTTTAGGGTTTGCGATTTGGGGAAAAATTTTTAGGGTTTTTTTTTGGGATTTTATTTGGGGAGATTTGATGAGATTGTTTGTGTCTACTTGTGGTTTGTATGTTTTGTTGTCTATGAATTGAAATTGTTGTGAATTTAGTTTTGATTGTATTCGATGAAATTAGGGTTTCGAATTTGGAGAAAAATTTTGGGGGTTTTTATCGGGGTTAAAATTGGGGCTTAGGGTTGCAGTATTACATACAGTGGTGTATTTTGAATCCAATTGCGAGTGATTGTTGATTGAGTAATTTCAATTTGGATCAAATTAGGGTTTTCGATTTGGGAGATTTTCGAAAATGGGGATAATTTGGGGGGGTTTTAGGGAGGTTTAATTTGCTTAATATATCTGCATATGCTGATGACGATGATGATGAAATGTAGATGATTACTCGATAAGAATTTCAAGTTTAACGTTTAATGTCAATGATGAAATGCTAGACTAGATGATGTAATTTTGATGATGGTTTTGTTGAATGATTGTGGTCGTTGTTTAGTTGCCATATTGAAATGATGATTATGATGTTGATAATGCTAACTATCTTTTTTTTGTGAGGGTATTTGATGGAGCATCGGTTAATGCTTTTGGGGCTATTTGATGAAGCATCGGGTACATGCTTATGGTGTCTCCGAATACAGGTCAGTAACTAACTCTACTTTGATAAAAATGCCTCGTTTGGTTTAGATCTCTGGTTTGTTTGAATGGTTTAGTTGATTTGTATTGTTACCTGTTTAGGTTGCTAGTTTTCTTGTTGGTCGGTTATGTGTCTTGAAAAAGGTTTGCTTTGTATTGATAACTGGTTAGGTAGTTCGTTTGGTTTAGTATCGTTTAGGTGAAATGATGAATGGATCTTCAATTGATATGACTTGTTAGGTGTGATAGATGCCACTTAAAAGACTAAACTAAAAGACTTAAATTTTAGGAGACTTAAAGACTCAACTATAATTCTTAACAGCCTTAAATACACTAACATACACAAAGACTTAAAGACAAACCTTAAAAGACTTTAAATTCTCAACCATAAAAGACTCTTCTTCCTCTTTCTATAAACCCGTTTTAGTAAGTACTTATTTACGTAAAGACTCTTCTTCATCTTCCATATTTCTTCTTTCATTTTCCATATTCATTGTTTCATCTTCCATATTTCTTCTTTCATTTTCCATATTTCTTCTTTCATCTTCCATATTCCTTGTTTCATCTTCCATCTTTCTTCTTTCAAATTCCATCTTTCTTTTTTCATCTTCATGGATTCTCAAAACGCTTTCTCTCAGTCCGAAGGATTCGTTAACCTTCTAACTAGTCAGATACCTCCTGACAATTACTCGCCTTGTACTGAACTTGGATCATCAGACTTTCCTGTGTTTAGTACACAAGGATCTGATGAACCTACGATTAGTAAAGTCAGAAAGCAATGGACTCCGAAGGAAGACCTCGTCCTCATAAGCGCATGGCTCAATACGAGCAAGGATCCTATTGTGGGGAACGAACAACGGGCGGGTGCATTCTGGCAGAGGATTGAAGTCTATTATAATGGAAGTGATGACCTGATCGGACTACCAGTCTCAGTGTAAGCAGCGATGGGGTCGTCTCAACGACCAGGTCTGCAAATTCGTTGGTGCATACGAGGCTGCACAAAAGCAGAGGACAAGCGGCCAAAACGAAAACGACGTCATGAAGGCAGCCCATGAGATATTCTTCAATGATTATCTCATCAAGTTCACCCTCGAGCATGCATGGAGGGAGCTCAGGCATGACCAAAAATGGTGCAGCAGCAGCTATCCTGCTTCCAAGGATGGTGAGAAGGCCAAAAGAAGAAAAGTTGAAGACTCGGCTAACTCCTCTAGCTCAGTACATGAAAGAGTTGCCGATGATGTCTTCGTTGAGGCTAAGCCACCTGGTGTCAAGGCGTCCAAGGCGAAAGCAAAAAAGTCAGCCGGAGGGAAGGAGGTGAAGGACTTTGCAAGTGTGTGGCAAATCAAACAACGAGACTTGGAACTGAAAGACAAGATTACTGACAAAAGACTTCTTGAAAAACTGTTAGCTAAGACAGAGCCACTCAATGAGAATGAAATGCTTCTTAAAAACAAGATAATTAATGATTTGCTTAAGTGATGTATGAACTTTTTTTAAAAAAGTTTGGAATTTGGTACTTTGGTAGTTTGTTAAATGTAACGGTGTTGCAAATTTCAATATATTAATCATCTTTAAGTTTAGTGCATCGCCTTGTTTCTCTTTTTTATTTGCTCGTCTGAATCACTTGTCAACTTGCTGATGTATCTTTTTGGTTTTGCAGGGTAGTCACGGGGAAGCACTTGGCCACTAGATAGATGCGTCCAAGACCTGGGTCCATGTCATTTTTTGTTGTTTTCTCTGCTACACCATTCGTTTTTCTAGTGTAATGTACACATATTGTTAGTGATGTCTTTGTAAACCACATATTCTTCTTTTCTTTGTTGTATAAATGTATTGTGTGCGATGAACATCTATTCAATCTCAGTTGATATGTTATTTTTTTACAAACTTTTCTCTCAAAACATAAACCAAGATATCTTTCTTTCTTTTACAAACTTTTCTCTATCTCTTTTACAATCGTTTCTCCATCTCTTTTACAAACGTTTCTCCATCTCCTTTACAATCGTTTCTTTTACAAAAAAATTGTATGGCCGCATCATCAAATAATGGGCCATATGATAGGCCATATGATGATTCAATCGATGATGTTTTTGATGATTCCGATGATGATTTACTTGATCAACAATTTGATCAAATGTTTTATGCAGCACTTGATAGTCTTGCAAAAAAAAAACAAAAAAAAGAGAGCATACATTGAAAGAGAGCGGGAACAAGGGCATCACCGGCTCTGGAACGACTACTTTAGTGATGATGCAATCTATCCGTCAAATCTATTCCGTCGCCGGTTTAGAATGAACAAGGAGTTGTTCCTTCGTATAGTTGACCGCCTCTCCAATGAGATTCCATATTTTCAGCAAAGAAGAAATGCTGCCAGGAGATTTGGACTATCTGGCCTTCAGAAGTGTACTGCAACTATTCGTATGATGGCTTATGGTACGGCAGCTGATGCGGTTGACGAATATCTCCGGCTAGGTGCTAGTACGGCTTTGTTATGCTTGGAGAATTTCACGGAGGGAATAATAAACTTGTTCGGGGATGAGTACCTCAGAAGACCCACACCACAAGATCTCCAACAACTCCTCGATATTGGAGAGTCACGGGGATTTCCCGGAATGATAGGAAGCATCGACTGTATGCACTGGGAGTGGAAGAATTGTCCAACCGCATGGAAAGGACAATACACACGTGGTTCCGGCAAACCGACAATCGTCTTAGAGGCAGTAGCTTCATATGACTTGTGGATATAGCATGCATTTTTTGGACCTCCAGGTACGTTAAATGATATTAACGTTCTTGATCGTTCTCCAGTCTTCGATGATATTTTGCATGGTCGAGCACCAAAAGTGCGATATTGGATCAACGGTCACGAATATAGTTTGCCGTACTACCTAACCGACGGTATATATCCAAAATGGGCTACATTTATACAATCAATTCACCTTCCTCAAGGAGCCAAAAACAAAGTTTTTTGCAACAGCTCAAGAATCCGTCCGAAAAGATGTGGAGCGTGCATTTGGAGTTTTACAAGCTAGATTTGCGATAATTAAAAACCCAGCTCTTTTTTGGGATAAAGAGAAAATTGGGAAAATTATGCGGGCATCTATCATATTACACAATATGATAGTTGAAAATGAACGAGATTCTCACAGTCAATTCAGTTTGGAAGAATTCCAACAAGGTGAAAGAAGCAGAAATTCGCATGTCGATATGACGTATACTTCAAATAATTGTTCAAATGTCAAAAATTTGATGATGGCCAAACGAAATGAAGTCCGTAGCAGACAGGTGCATGATCAGTTGAAAGCGGATTTAATCGAAAATCTATGGAATAAATTTGGTTCTTCTTAAAAGTACAATTATGGTTATAGAATTTATGTATTTTATCTATTTAATGTTTTTTTAGTACTTGTAATAAATTGTATGCTTCTTTTAAATTAATTATGTGTTTAAATTAATTTCAATTTCAGAAATTTTTTTTTAAAAAAATTAATATTATATTCGGGATGAACCCTATTTTCAGGTTCACTGATGAAACCCGAAAAAAGACTCAGGTTCATCCCTTAAACAAAAACCCAAAAAAATTATTATTCTATTCTAATGATACCCATTAAGAGTATCACTAATGCACATGCTCTAAAGCTATGTTGTCTAACTTGAAAACATACAAGAGAGTGATTAGGAACAATAACTAATAATAGTTAACAAAAAAAATACATAAGTAATAATAATAAAGATCGACAAGTCAAATCAGAAAGAGAGATATTGTGGCAAAATAAAAAAATCAGAAAGAGAGCGATAGGGTTTCCGGAAAAGGAAGAGTAGAAGCTGCGAAATGTGAGTTAATGAGTTGAGAGCTCTCTACGTGTGATGTGAACTGTGATGTTTCTTAGCTTTGTGTGTTCCTATTAAACTCAAGTGGGTTTGGTGGACTTTCTTTTGGTACTTTTCAATTTCAAATTATATAATTTCTTCTTTTCTAATTGCGGGGAAAAAATTTTCCCAAGGAAATTTACAATGTTGCATTCCATTAGCTGTAAAAATGAAGATTACGTTAACAGATAACAGATTCAAACGGAAATACCGCAATTTCAGATACAGTTGTTCTATTTAGCGGACTGTAGTCACTGTAGATCGATTTATCGATCGGTTGTAACAAATAATTTTATCATTTACTATACGTTATGATCAATTTTGTTTGTAAGTAAATAATGTCTATAACTGCATCGGTGTTGTACCGATTATTTATTTGGCATGAATTATAATGACTGGCAACTAACTACCGTAAGTACGTAAAGAGCGATCTAAACGTCATGCAAGTGTACTCAATACTCATGATCATTTTTGCCACGCCCAAATTACATATATATATGGCCGTTTTTGATCAATAAAGTTAATGTTTTATACTTAAATTTAATAAAATAAACACTATAATGGTCAATTACTTTTGGTGATAGATTAAATCAAACCATTTCCACAATCTGCATTGAACTCCTAAACTATAATAGTACTATAATGTATAGGTTCTAAATGTATATCAGTGAAAAACATTAAAATCTAAACGCCCGTCCCTTCATAAACCGGTACCTAATTAATTGTTATCATTAGATATCAAATAGACTAACGAACTAAGCCATGCTAATTAGGCCCAAGAAATTTTAGTACACGACAATAAAAAGAAGGCATACATGAAAATACTTATATGTTAAGTCTAAAATAGTCGATGCATGAATAATTAATGGGTGGTATTAAATAGATAGATAGCTAGAGGGTAAAGGGTAAGCTTTAATTAAAGAGAGGGAGTAATGAAGTTATACGAGCATGGAAGCCTGACTAAACCCTAATCTCTTCTTAGCTTTCTTCCCTTTTTGGGCAATCGTCCCATCTCTCACAGTCATAGTCCCCAACCCTTTTTCTCAATAAATAAAATTTCAGTCACCTTTATGTGGATGCAGACGGATAAATCTTATCAGATTTCTAGTCCACAATTACCATATTTACTATATACAACTAATCTTCTATTTTCAGTTACTAATTTAAAATCTTTCACTTACATCGCTGGATGTTTCAGGCCAAAATAGGGAATCATTCACATTTACATCACAATCCCAATGATGAGATTTGCTATTGGTGAAATGGATACATATATAGAAACTCGAGGATATATATTTTTCTTTATTGTGCATGGTTAATTTTTTTTTATCGTAAAATATTTTTAAAAAATTCGATCTCATTGATAAAAATCGAGATCATAGAAAAAAGTCATATGGTAATTGTAGATTTTAGAACTAGACTAACCTACGATGTAAGAAAAAGAGTTCGTAATGTTTTGATTATTAGTTATTTTTTTGTTAGCTTTGACACGTTTAAATCTATCGTTTAGAAAGATCAATCTGTGAATTGGTTCTAAACATCTAAACAATGGTTGTAAACTTTTATCAAATAAAATTGTACGTAAGCTAAATATGTGTATGGAAGTACGAAATCTAAGGAGAGTGAAGAATGCAAAAAAGTTAGTCACTGAAAGAGACGTGTGATTAATCACTTGTCCACTTCCAATTTCCATGTGGGGCAGTGCATGCACAAAAGATGGAATCCATCCTACAGCTCCTCCTTTCTTCACTATCTTTTCAAGTTTCTCTTTTTGAAAAATTCATATAGTGTATCTTTTTTTATTTTGTTTAACTCAAACCTCACTTCTTCTTCCCTATGTAATTAGTATGCTCACAAATATTCTTGTTCTATTTCAAATTTCAACAATAAAGTGTGTATATATAGCTGATGTGGATGGCCTCTAGCTTCTTAATTTTTCTACGGATCTGATTAATAGTTGTTCACTCCATGTCAAATATAACTCGATTAACATCCAATAAGAAAGCTAACATAAGAATTTAAAAAATCGTATACAAGAGAGCGTCAAAGAAGGACGAGAAAACGAAGAGGAAAACGAGTGTTCTGTTGGATGTTTCTAAAGCATAACATAATTCAACAAAAAACGACTTGAATTTGTTTTTCCACGGGAAGATAATGCCCTTCCCAACAAAAAAAAAGTAGATTTCTTTGGATTTCTTATGGATTAAATACCATGTATATAATACATTAATCTCTTGAATTTATATTCATATTTACTTATTTACCATAAGATTAAGAACCATACTTTTACATGTATGGCAAGCCTCATTAAAATTTATAGTGCGCAGTGTACAAAACTTCCTTAAATATAAAAGTGGCAAATCAAAAGATCCTGACTGGAATCAGTTTTGGTTTTGGGTCCAATGTATGTATAGTTGGATGTGTCTGAAGAAGATCCATTGTTTTGGTTGTTCCTCGATAAATGTTATTGAATGTTTATTTCACGATGAAGAAAAAAGTTGCGAAGCATGACAAGTAATGTTCTCAGTTTTGCAGGGAAATCATTTTGCGTGAAAATTTTCTGAGAGAAACAAAAAAAAAATCAGATCAAAGATCAGAAAAAGGACTATTCTTAATTTATAACATGTGGGCAAGTCAAGGGTTGCTGGCATCAAACTTGAATGAATGTAATCATATTCACACTATGTATTATCTGGTATATAATATTTTAATATCTTTTTTAGTCATCTCTTTTTGTCTTTTGCATCATGACATATATATTTCATTAATATAAGTACGATGTAGAAGCTAATTAAGGAATATAAAGTAAGACTTTTGCTTGTTTTGAAATTATATATGTATACGAGGTATTGGATTTATTTTTCCTCCTCTATTAGGTTAATTTTGGACTAGTTATTACTCAACATTAACTAAAAGAAGCATATATTATAAGAAAAAGATGGTTGAATTGTTTTCAGCGCAGCTAATTATAGCAAAAACTAATGTACGAGGAGTGATATTTAAAGTCTTGATATTTTTGAAGCAGAATTAAATACGTCTGCAAGATTTTGCAGAGGGAAGTATGTACTATCACGAACTAGCAATAGTAGCAAGTAGCAACGTAGATAAAAGTCATAAAACCCTAGATCCGGTCCCTTGATTTAATTCATATACGATTTGACATAAAAAAGTTTCTTTTTAAAACTTAATTCTGCCTATCTTGTTATTTGAAGTCAATTAATAATGTATATGTTGCCAAAACCCTATTTTATTTGTTCAAATGTTTATTTGTTACACTAAAATTGTGTCTAGTGTCTACATCAGAATCCTTGGTGTAGTATATTATTTGTTTTGTCTTATAAGCTTAAAGTTCTTAACAGTTTACAAAATAATACGATTGCCTTACGACCAAAAAAATAATAATAATACGATTTTAGTGTTATAAGGAAAACCAAATTATATCAATTATCAATTATGACTGCATACGTCCAACACTTGAACCTCTTTTCCTCTCTCTCTCTCTCTCTCTCTCTCTCTCTCTCTCTCTCTCTCTCTCTCTCTCTCTCTCGGCCTCACTATGTTTGAACTTCTCTATATATACAAACCTTCCAGCTCATAAAATAACCATCACCAGTACACTATTCTAATTCTCTCTCTCTTAACAAACGGGTTTTAATCCATTCGATAAAGATCATGAACCTTGAAGAGAAACCAACCATGGCTTCAAGGGCTTCATCTCAAGCCGAACATCTCTATTACGTCCGGTGCAGCATCTGCAACACTATCCTCGCGGTATGTAACCCACACATAGATAATTAAGCGTATATGCATGGTCCTTTTATACAGATAGAGATATATGTGGATAATAAGCTATGCATGCGCAGCTATATATTGTTCTTTAGTTTGTCTATATTTCTTCAAGATTTTGAGCTAATAGTAAACCTAATCTACATATATAGGTTGGAATACCATTGAAGAGAATGCTTGACACTGTAACGGTGAAATGTGGCCATTGTGGTAACCTCTCGTTTCTCACAACAAGCCCTCCTCTTCAAGGCCATGTCAGCCTCACCCTTCAGGTTTAAAACCCGTGCTTTTTACTAATGCATATAATTTGTAATATATATAAGAGGTAATACAAAGTCTAGCTTGTTTTATTTACTTAAGCAGATGCAGAGCTTTGGTGGGAGTCATGAGTATAAGAAGGGAAGCTCTTCTTCCTCCTCCTCCTCTACCTCCAGTGACCAGCCACCATCTCCGAGACCACCCTTTGTCGTTAAACGTAAGCCACAAGATTCTTGTAGTACCATTTACCATTTATGACTGTTTTTGTTTAATCAAATCGTTTTCAATAATAATAATTCAATTAAGATTCTTTTGGTGTTGCAGCTCCTGAGAAGAAACAGAGACTTCCATCAGCTTACAACCGCTTCATGAGGTTAATATTTGACATATACTTCTTCATTTCCAAGTTATAAAATTTAATACATAAATAATATGTATCATATACAACTTTGTTCGATACTTCTTCATTTTTATTTTGGAAAAATAAATATAAAAAGGGATGAGATACAACGCATAAAGAGTGCGAATCCGGAAATACCACATCGTGAAGCTTTCAGCGCGGCTGCGAAAAATGTAAGACAATAATCACTTTTTGTCACGACGCTAATTAACAAAATGCATATTACAAAATTTTCTTATCATTTATATGCATATGTTTCTAAATAACTTAATTTTGTGTGATTGAAATATGTCACAAACAGTGGGCTAAGTACATACCCAATTCTCCTACTTCCATCACTTCCGGAGGCAACAACATCAATGTAAGCTATACAAACTCACTCATCTCCATACGTTCATACATTTATATATTATATAGAGATTAAGTAAAATTAGTAGTTAATAAAAATTATTTTCTCAAATGCTTTTGTTTTAGGGTTTGGGATTTGGTGAGAAGAAATGAAATCCCAAGGAAAAGCCTAAAAATAACAAACGCACGTGTGCGAGTCCAAACTTTCCTGCGAAGGGTTTAATTTATGGCGTCGTTTTTCTCATCTTGTGTTGTTGATGTTGTTTTAAGTTCGTGTGTATTTTCTGTTGTATGTCTCTCATGTAACAGAAATGATGTTGCCTTTAACTAGTTTATGACTTTATATTTCTGTTCTGTCTGTCTTAGATTTGAAAGTTACGTTACTTTGCTTATGCTGTCTTCTTTTGGACGTTTATGTCGGGACTTTAAATTTGTCTTAAATCCTATCAAATTTCTGCTTATTCGTCTCTATCTAGGATAATTTGTTTTCCAAGGATTTGCAACTTTCAACATCGTAACTTCGAACTCGAGAATCTTAGATGACGTGTACAATAAAACAAATTGGAAAATCTCCTTTTTCAGCGAATATTCATTACCATTATATACACAAATTGTCTGAAGAAACAAAAGAAAAAAAAAAGACTGAGACACTGCGAAAGTAGCAGGCATCGATATCTGAAGGAATTTTCTTCAGACTGGTGAATAATAATAATAATAATAATAAACAAGATCAGTTCAAGTTTGTTCCAAAAAAAAAAACAAGACCAATTACAAAAAAAGACACGTGTAACCAGACTTGATCTTCATTCCCCTAATCTAATCACCTCACCAATCCAAAAATCATCAAATCCCAAATTCACAAACTAATCAAACCATGCTTGCCTTATACACAACACAGTTTCAAGAAACTAGAGCCTGTTTAAAGGAATAAGAATGTCAATTTTCTTTTAGGAGCTAGGGAAATAAAGTTCATTATATTCCTGCTTCACCTCATCAGTGATATTCCTCTGTTGCTCGATTCTTTGAAGATGCGATGACAATTGCAGTAGATCAACCGTGGATGATCCTTTTCCATTACGTGAACTAGAAACAGAACTGGTCTTGCCAGGATCCATCCACAACGGTTGCATCTGATTGAGGTTTTGGTTTGGTTTGGTGATTGAGAAAGCTGTGTTTGGACTTGGAGTCTCAGAGAAGTGTTGTTGGGACTGAGCTGACAGAAGAGAGAGAGCACAAGTAGAGCGTGGCGCTGCCTCATGTAAGTCCCAAATCGAGGATACACCAGAAGCTTCCGGTGAATAAATCCTTGCTTTAGATTCATATATCCTACGACTGTTGTTTTGCGCAATCGCAGGAAACATAGAGCAAGTAGGTTCATCTTTGAAACTCACGAGTCTACTTGCACAGTGGTCTTGCTCATCCGTTACTCTGTACAAGAAATTACCGGGAAACGCTTCTGGTAAGACCAATGAGAAGTCATTGACTGATGAAGCTTCAAGAAACTTGTTCCCTGCCACACCGATTTATACATATTTACACCGATGCAAGGAAACATAGTTGGTCTCAAATTAGTGCGACTATGTGAATTGGACACATAAACGGAAAGGCAGAGATTGTGTACCTTGAGATGTTCGAAGAAGCTTATGCCGTTTACCAGGTAGGAAATAGAATGAAGGCTTCCTTCTTCGCTCATTGTGACCAGCTAATCGTCTTCTGCAACTTCTTTTCCCATCATCAAATTCTGAGAGGAAATGAAACCTGACCAGAAGATAAAGAAAGATGGTATGTTAAAACATTAAGGAAAGAACAGAGGCAGATATCAACTTGAGAGGAGAAATGGGTAAAAACCTGCTGCACTGTTGACAAAATCTCTGTTCAATACCGCTAACTATAACCACGGAAGTCTTTGAATGAGTCTCGCAAACTCTATGCCTTTTGTGGTAATCTTTTGAAAAGCTCAGATCCATATTGCATCCATACACTTGACACAAGGGATTCTGTGGGCACAGGTTTGAAGCTCGAGTCTTTTTAGCTCTAGACGAAGTACCATCGTTCTCGTAATCCAAAAAGCTCCTAACTTTGAAATCTATTCTAGACAGCTTTGAAGAAGAAGATTGGTTCTCCTCCTCATCCTCCTCAACGGGCAACAAACTCGAAGGAGCAAGACAAGAGGAAGACGCCATCTTGCTAATGGAAACAGCACTGAATCCATTGGATTTACCAGCCATATGGGACATCAAAACATCATCATCATTCTCAAATTCATTAGAGAGTCTCTGCTCATATCCAGCCATGGCTTTTCTACTCTGAGCAAACGAATCAGAAGGCAGAACAGTTCCATTTTCCAAGAAAACGCTTCTCCCGTAGCTCCAAGAATCCATCACGCAAAAATTGAAACTAAGACAACGGTGTTTACACTATCAGTACAAGGATCAACTTCTGCTACCATTCAACTACAACTATGCGATTCGATAAGTGACACAAAAACCCTAAATTAGGAAGCTTTCTTCGCCTTGGAAATTCAAGTGTCCTTATGAGTGAGAAAGATTCACCTTTTCCTTCGATTGGCACAAGACCCAGATGTAATCGACGAAAAAATTCAGACCCTAACTGCGAAAAGAAGAAAAAAATCCATACTTTTTCTTCAGAATCGAGGAAACCAATCAAACAACAGGATCAGTGAAAACTATCAATAGAAAATTGCAGAGTAAGAATCAAAATACTCACCGATTAGAATAACAGAGAGGAAGAAGAGAAACTCAGAAGCAGAGAGAGATTGGAGAAATATAGAAAATTAAAAGAAGAAAAAAAAAGTGGAAATTGGGGAGTCGAAAGGAATAAGGTGAGGGTGACGTCGAAGCAGATACTATTTGGTCAACATGATTTCCACTACAGCCAATCTTCTCCAACATCCAAAAAAAAAAAAAAAAAAAATCACTACTCTGTATTTGTATTTACATTTTCAAAGGCTATTTATGTGGATTATTGTATACCTGTATTTACTGTGTTATGGGAAACCATAATTGTTACAAATCAACTGATTATCCATTAGTTTTGAGTTTAAGGAACTTAGAAGTCAATTTTTGTTTTTCCTTTTTTTGCGGTTCATGACATTTGTTTTTTTGTAGTTTTATCCTCTTATAAAATAATTTATTTGAAGTCGACCAAAAATAATAATAACAATAGAATTGTTTGAATTTTTTGTTGGAATTTAAAAGTAAATATTTACAATAAATGATATGGCTCGCCTTTTTACATGTATTAACAAAATTTAAAGTTATACGTATACTAACTAAAATAAATTAAATGCATTTTCATGTATTTGAAAAGTTAAGACTTCCTTTCCTATCATTGTTTTCGGAATGACACCTAAAATAAATTAATTGGATTTCATGTATTTGACTACGGTGGCATCATATTGCGGTTTTCTTTTGTAGAGAGACAAAGAGCAAAACGGATGTGTTCACACTATGTACATCCGAACAAATATGTACACTTAATTGAAGCTATATATAATATATGTACACTACAAACAAAACCAATAGATCACAATGGACATTGTCACGACCCACAATACAGAGTTTTAGAAATTTGATTATATTCTAAATTCTAATTATCTCAAACACGGTTTTGATTAATTATTTGGTTTGTTGGTAGCTTTGCAATTTTAAAGATTAAAAAAATCAACAACTTGGGGAAAGAGAATATTGTCTATCGCAACTTGGGAACACTATTTTTTGGTTTTATCTATTTAAATTAATCGTTATTAGAAAAAAAAAAACAAATATCCAAATCAATGCATAAGTTAGAAGAAGAATAATTTATTGGGTTTCCATAAAAGAAAAAAAACTTTGGGGTCGCCAAAAGAATATATAAAATATTTGGGAATCAGGGAATTGAAGTGGTGCGTGTGCGGGCAGGGCAAACTTCAGACGCTTCACAAAAGTTTTGCTTTATTACAAAACTAATCCTTTTTCTTTTTCATTTATTTTCTTAAAACTAGCACTTTTCTTTTCGTTTGGTGGGAGCCAGAGCACATCTTGTTGGCCAACCAACCGCACTTTCCAGGTGATGGATGGAATCTAAGTTAGTCCCAATTACTTTTTTTCCTAACTACTTTATTTCTCTTTCCTTCTCATGTTTCTTGTTTGTTATTAATATTTCCTATGTAATTATAAGTTTGTATGATTGATATTTGATAGTTTCTCAGATATTATCAATTAAAAGCTGTAAGACTTAAAATTAAAACGAATATTTATGCATAATTACGATCATAATTAGGCGTGGAGCAAAAATAACCAAAAACAAAACAAAAAATAGTGCAGGTTTCAATTTGAGAAGGCAAGTCAAACAAATTTTACGTAGAATAGTTAAGGCCTGATTCAAGCCCATCAACTACGGGCCAAGCAGGGTCTACTTTCTCTTGTTATTGCTGGGTTTGTGACGTTTGTCCCACGCCAGTTTCTCGAAAATTCTCAAAAAGTCAATAAAAAGGAGCAAAAACACTACTTCTTGAACAGTCATTGTGTGCAGTGTGCACCAAAAAGATTAGTAATGATTTTAATTATAATATTTGAAAACGATGGAAAGTCCTGATTTTTGAACTTTACATTCTAGTCCAAAGACCAGAGATTCTTTTGTTTAAAAATAGATATAAAAACTGAACCAAGTCGAATTGATCCAAACCAAATTATTTCTTAACATCGATCGATAGCATTGTTTGATACTGAATAAACTGAATCAAATTTGAATTATTGCGAGCCGAATATATTAAAATTGAGTACAGTTTGTATATATGACAACATATATGACGTAAATCATTAATTATTTATTTTTTAACAAAAATTCAAACTCACATTAGTGAGTGTCTTTATTTGCAAGGTTCATTATCATATCATTTTACTTTGTATAATTACCTCAGCTTTATGATAATCACATGTTTGGACCCTCCACCCACTAGATGAGAGGAGAAAGCCATGTATTAATTATTAATTCCATATACCCGACTTTTGTCTATATTGTTGACATGTATCATTGTTTCTAGTTCCATGAAATTTTTTTTTGCCAATCGGCATGATTTTATTGTAGAATTTGACCCTCTTGTCTGTTTGATTTTGTTTATTTACTAAATACCTAAAAACGTATAAAAATACAAATAAGATGCCCATCTCGCTATATATACATAAATACAGTGTACGTGGGAAGTAAATACAACCACATACAGTATAAAGCAAAAGTAATATGTTTAACATACCTACTGTAGTAGTGTGTACAGTGTAGTTAAAAATGGGATTTGGCATGAGACCAAAGTCTAATTATCATTAAACGGATTCTTATCATTATTTAGTTGGCTTTCGTTCAGTCCAAACATCAATGTTCACCATACTATATAAATTAGTCAAATACAAATAAAAACGAAGATCTTTTAAGTGAACACGCAATTTAAAATGATTTTTAGTCACATTCAAGAAGAATTTTAGTCGGATAAATGATCCAACGACCAACACATCATGATTATCCTTAAAAAGGCTATATATTAGTGGGTATGCCTTATGCATGCATTGTTAAAAATGAGATTCTTTAACAACAAAAGAAAATACATAGAAATGAGAAATCAAAAAGCAAGCGCAATCTATGCATGGCAAAAGCTTTTGAATTTTTTTTTTTTTTTTTGTGGGTTAAAATCTGTTGGATATGCTTTTGTCCTCTATTAATTTTTTTAATAAATTTATCTACCGCATTTGATAATCTTTTTAAGGTTAAATCAATCTTCGACCTAAACACTAATGTCATATCTATCGAAGCTCTATGACACAACCCTGACAGGACAAATAAAAACGCCTAGGCATACTATATTAAGTAACTGATTGCTAATCCTTAGAGTAATAATATTTAATGTTTATGTATGAACAATTGAAACATACAAGTGAATATATATCAGAAAAAGGTTAAAAAAAAAAACATACAAGCGAATATCGTTGTTGGTCCCAATGTTTGTTTGTTTCTTTTTTTCTTGTTATAGATACATAGTTAAGTTGAGAATTAGAGGTGTCATAAGAAGCAAAACTCATAACCGACGACAAAAAAAGAGGACTTATAACTAACCAACTAATATGAAAAGAGAAAAACAACCAGTTGAAGTGAGTAAGTGACCAACCAAACTTAACCAGCCAGTTTACTTTATTTATTGGTCCCATATAATTTCTGGCTCTTATGCATTGATAGTTTTTATTTTATCCCAATGATTTTTTTTGTCTACTTTATCCGAATGATTATATATCAACAATATATTATATATGTATGGTCCGCATTTCGTAACATAGCTCAACTTTTCCGGTTGTTGATGTAGCTAAGTGACAAACTTCTTCACCGAATTTCGTAATTTCTTATGAAACAAAAATGGTTTACCACGTTATCTGGTAATCAAAATATTAACAATTTTGTACAAAAAATCCAAGTGAGAGACAAGAAAACTAGGTATTTATCAACTCTACACTCAAAATCTCATTAAAAAAAAAAACAAATCCATGACGCAGCTTCCACAATCAATCCCAACAAATCCAAAAGAGTAACACAACTTCAGAATAATCAGACAAGAACAAAAAAAAAAGTTTTACTAAGATCTGATGATATATATGATGACACTCAGAGACGACAGAGATTATAGATGAGTGTTGTTGATGTTAGCTACATTGGTAGTCTCGTAGACTGGCAAGCCTCCACGAGATAACTCGTAATTCTGCAACTCGAAGAGATCAGAACTTGAATCACTCTCCATTCCATCATCATCATCATCTCCTTCCCTCTTTGTTCTCCGATCATCATCGTCATTATCATCATCATCATGGTCAGCCCAAACCTTCTTTTTCTCCGAGAGGCTCTCCATCACTTTGAGTTTCTCATCCAGCCAAGACAACTCTTTGTTGATTTTCTTTTCCTCAACTTCCACTTGGTTTGTGGCAGAAGTGTAATTCAAGAACTGCTTATAGTTCTTTGTGGGAGTGTTCAAATAAGGAGGAGGAGATCTGAAACCCGAGCTTGACGAAGAGAACAGAGACTTTGATGAGGATGATGTCGTTGTGGTGGTTGAATTTGATCTGCTTGAGCTCAAGAAATGGCTGATACTGCTTCTTCTCCTCCTCTTCATCCATCCTCCTCCGGAGATCTCCTCTTCGACTTCCCGATCTGTTGGCTTTGACTTAGACTTGTTCTTCTTCGAACCCGCTTGATGAAACAAAGAGTTCAAGAAGCTGGCGATTTTTCCACCTGGTGAGCTTGGTTGCTTGTGTCTCACGTTACCAATTCTCTCTTTGATTGTTGTAACTTCGTGCTTCTGATCTTGGTAAAGATGATGCACTTGCTCTGAACATCTAATCGGCAAATCCAAGCTTATTCTTCTTCCTCCTCCTAATATTCCCCATCTCCTTCGACTCTCCTCTCTCGCCGCGTTATAACCATACTTTTGTGTGTATCTATGGTCGCCGGAGGAGACTTCGTTATAGCCGGAGAAATATACAGCAGCCTCAAACACGTCAAGCTCGCCGGAATGAGCTTCGTTGCGCTTGTGGGGAGATATTATCTTGGAGAGCTTATTTGGTTCTGCTGATGAAATTCCTTTCATGGACATTTTTTAATTAGGGTTTGAAGATGAGATACTTGGATGATATCAGGAGTCTCTTTCTATGCTAGATTTGCGGAAAAGAGGAACAAGTTGATAGGAAATGATAGAGTGAAATATAAGGTGGTTAGGTTTATATAACAAATGATGATATAACTCCATCATCATTAATATAAGGTCATTGTATGTGAATATACGGGTCGTAAACGTATCATGCGATACTCATACTTTGATATTAGTGGATTACGATTTGTTTTATAGTAGTATATCTTTGGATATGGTTACAATTAAATGTTGCAAATTCTGAAAAATTTAGAAATTTGGAGGGACATAAGTCATAAGAGTTTGTGTGACCCACTAAATGCGTGGGTGAAGAACTTAATTGAAAGAGAAGGTGGGCTCATTTGATTTTATGAGCTTTCTGATAAGGTGTAGGAAATTAATTGATTGTATTTATGATAATGTGGGGGCGATCCTCTCTTGTTGCCTTGGATTCCAACTTCGAGTTTTTTTTTTCTTCCCTTTTTTCCTTTTTGCAATTCAATTGTGTTCTTGGTTTTTGAAATCAAGCTCATGTACATGAACCCACACACAAACCATGACTCCATTAAATTTCTATGTATACTCGTTGCATAAAAAATACTAGACTTGCTCCTGTTTACAATAAATGTGATTTAAACTAATTTTTATTTAGTAAAAGCCATTTTGTGATTTCAATGCAAATTTGTTATCAGAAACTAAATATAAATAATTTCAAGACACAAGACTCAATTCAAGACTAAATTCATTTGTAAACGTTATAATAATATTTTTTTTCTTCTTTTAGTTAGTTGAAAAATGAAAAAACAACACCTATATACTCCTACTTTAGTTGTCACTTATATACTCCTACTAAACGCGCCTTATTCCGTAGATGACCTTACTCGGTTCATTGAAAAAAATTATCCGGAACCACATTGCATTTCTTCGCTATCCGTTCCACATTGTCCATTCTGCTTTAACCATTTAAAGTTTTTTTTTTCTTTTTCTAGAATCTGAAGATGGGTATGGATTTGATAATTAAGTGTGATAGCGTGAGTGCCTCTTAACTTTTGATGAGGAGCTTTGAAGTTACTCATCCATGACAGTTAAATCTTTATTCAGTTACCATGAGTCAAGTTAATGATATTTATTTATAATCACCCTCAGGTACGTATTTATTACAATAATTATATATACGTACAGAATCTTTCAAATTTATGTAGAGTATTCCGATTTGAAATTTGTAGTAATGAGACTCACGACAAAGACTATACAAAAACTCTATAAATTTATAATGTTGGGACTTTGGTATTTTATTAATTTATAGAGTTATTAATTTATAGATTTCAAATAATATTTTTTATTTTTTATTAATTTTAAAAGAGATTTTTTTTAAAAGTTACAATCTTTAAATAATTCTTTTTAATATTAAAAATGAGTTTTAAGAAGACTTTAAGTTAAAATAACTAAAAAAATATTAAACTCATATTTTAGTAAATTATCTTATTTATATATTTATATCAGATATTATTTATAATAATTATTAATTTATAATATTAATGTGACTATATATTTATATAGAAATTTTGTTAAAATTATTATTTATTATTTTATCGAATTGTGTTATAATTTGAATCGGTCTAACTCAAGACCATAAAATTTTATTAACTTATAGTATTTATTAATTTATTGAATATTAATTTACAGAGTTTATACGGTATATTGATCTATTTGGATAGAGACAACTTCAACAATGCCAAAACTCAATATAATTTGCAAGCTCAATCTATTAACTATGAAGGAATTGTAAAATCAATAATGTATTATCCAGACTAAGAAAAAATATATATAGATATCTCCGGTTTATGAAATTCGTCGTATCTCTTAAATAGAAATTTATCATTTTACCAAAAAATAAATAAATAGAAATTGGTTGTATTTCTTTATTCAATTCGAACAGAATCAAACAATAGATTTGACTTAAAATTTCTTATAAAATTGCGCAAATTATATAAGTTATAAATCAAATTATGATATCTTACTGTATATCTCCACTAATTAATTTAGTATTACCAAAAATAAAGGCTTTGATTGATAATCTTGCGGAATGGTAGAAAGAATTTTGTGGAATGAAATAATCTATTTATTACTCGTTTGTCTGTGTTTTTGTAGTATTTTTTTATTTACAAATTTTTGTTGATTGGTAAAAAGCTTGTGGAATTATATTTTTAAACGTAATTCCGCCATTAAGCAGGCTACCAATAGCCAAAGAAATTGAAAACTACCGACACGTATAAAGACGAAAAGTTGGGGATTGGGGAGGAGGCAACGTCACGTTGTGTAGATTCCATATTAAAATAATGCTTACAAAGGCAAAACATAGACTTGACAGGAATAGTAAGTAGTGGTTAAGGTGAGATTCGAGCCCACACGTGCGGAGACATGTGGAGAGATGACACGTGACATGATTTTTGGTTGTAAAACAATCAGCAACAAAGACATAACTACTAGAGAAGGGTTTTGTCTTGGGGCGTAGACGTTGAAAAGGATGCGTTAAGAACACTTGAGACCCCTGGTTTTGAAATTGACACTTGCATCTCCATCTCTATCCCCATCTCCATCATTGCCTGACCAATCCCTAATTTTGAAAATCAACCTAAATAATTAGATAGTTTTCGGATTCCAGTTAACGCAGCAAATTCTATAGTATTCCAAAATTGTTAAGCATCAAAGTTTCATGGAAAGTGTTTATTTACGTTCACCACAGAAAGTAAAAGTATTTTTGTATTTTATTCATTGTATGCTCCTCCATTGCATACTTGGCTTACTTTGTCGCCCTTAGATTAGGAATATTAAACATTCTTCAATTTTGTGTAGAATGAAATGAGTGATAATGGGTTTAAATAATTAAAACTAAAAAATGACTTCACTGGACGATGCATTTGATGACCAAAGAAAAATAAAATAATTCTATTTCTTTTCCTTACGTATCTTTTTCCCGTTTATTTAAATTCATATGTATATAAATCTTAATACGTATATGCTTTAACAAAACAAAACAAAATCTATCTTTACATTTTACCAACAACAAAAAAAAACAAAACAAAATCTACGTATGTGTATTTATGTGTTTATATATATATATATATAAGTTAATCACTCACACACAATATATATATATATATAAGTTTGATCAACACTATATATAAACTATTATAATCAAATGTATATGTATATATACGATTTTATAATATAGTAAACGATTGCCCCCAAACATGCTATGATTGTCAAGTCAATATCTAAATTTTGGAGGAATCGGCAAAGTTAACGAAAAGTAATAGCATGATTAAGGCGGGCTTTAGTTGGGTTTTTACAGAAACTTAATATTTGTTTAATGAGTCAGCGTCTCCAAAAAACCTAATACGTCTCCTATTTGGTGACATTTTTACTCGTTTCTATTTCCAAGTGGCGGGCTTCTGTTGGTTAAAAAAAAAGAGATTGTTTTTTTTTTATCTCCTCCTTCCTTCGATTTTTTTCGGAAACATTCTCGACAATTTTTTTTCCCTCTTTGCTCTCTTTTTTTCTGGCGAAATCGACGGTGAACGATTTGTCTCCGGCTCCGACAGGTTCTGAAAGGGTTGGCGGTTCTGATACGGAGGAATCAGTGGTGGAAACGTGACTGCGAAAGGGGAGGCGAAAGAGATAAGTCATCTAAACCCTAATTTCGTTTTGTGTGTTGTTTGTTTGTCGATTGGTAATCTGCGGTCATCTAGTTCTGTGTATTCCCTTGGCTTTGAATTCGTATATTATATGATTTGTATTATTAGGTTGAGATTGGACAAAATCGAAATCTTTGAGTTGGGAACCCTAATTTTGGAAATTAGGAATTTGTTATGTGATGAAATTTCTGGGTTGGTTTCGTCTTTTTTGGGGATCCTTTGAACAAGAACTGTGTAATCGAAGGTAGTATCATCTTTGTTCTCTGTAATCGAAGCTTGTTTGAGTATCTGGGAAACCCTAATTCGAGAAATTGGGGCTTTTGTTATTTGAGAAATTTATTGAGTCCTTTTCCGTATATTTGGTGATAGTTTGATATGATTTGATTGTATATGAACAATATTTCGCATTATTCTCTGTCATGTTTTTACTCATCATCTTCTTTGTCTGACGTTTGTCCATCGTTTGTTTCATGATTCTTTCTCTTGTATTTGCTGTTTTATGTCATTACCGGTTATTTAGATCTTGTTCTTCTGAGTTTTGTGTTTGTTAACCTTTTAGTTATCTTCTATTCTGTACAGGGCAATGCCGATTAGCTACACCAACAACACAACATCGGAGGCAAGCTACGACAGTGGTTGTGATAAGACGTATGGGAACTTTGGGGTTCCTGACCGATGCTTTTGTGGTCTGCGTTGTGTACTAGAAGAGTCTACAGCTCCAGAGACTCGCGGGAAGAAGTTCTACTCTTGTCCTGCTATTTTGGGTGAGGTAAGATCATAGTTTAGGTCATTATGTACTTAATATAGTTCTTATCTTTAGGATGGCATGTTAAATGATTTCTGAAATGAAGTAATTTATTTCATGTGTGTAGGATCATCCGGATCACATTTCCAAATGGTGGGATGAAGCCATTCAGGAGCAGCTGACGCTTCTTGAAAACCGCATCGAGCAACAGAGTGAGAGGATGAGTTCAATGATGGAAAGTAACAACCGAACAGCGCTTCTGCAGTCGTATGAGGACCGTCTGTATGCATTGGAAGATCGCACTGCTGCAAACAATCTGACCATTACCGAGATCGAGGAATTCATAGGCTATATTCAAAGTGAATTTACTGGAGTTAAAGATGCACTTGCCAGTCGAGGTTCTGACCTGCTTCTAATTATTTTTTTAGTTATTTTTACTGTCATTGCATGTGTTGTTATGCGTTGGGAGGTAGAATAGGCTGCTGTAACCTCTAAGGGGATGAGTTAGGAGAAAAACATTTTATGTTATCATGAATGTTGTTTTAATGACTGGTGGATTTGATTTCATCTTTCGCTATCTTGTTTTTTCTTCTTATATCTTGTTTATATATTTGGAGTAGAGGTTTCGTTTGTTTGTTCTGTTATTAATCAGGCACCAATTTAAATGGCAAGGGTCAAGGACCATTTCGTAGCAAGCCTCATCCAGATAAGTAATCGTGTTTGCTTTTATGTTCACTTTATTCAGCTTTGATATGTCTTTAGGTGTCTAACGGTTTTTTTTTTAAAATGGAGCGTAGTTGGCATTGATTTGGAGCGTAGTTGGCATTGATTTGGAGCGTAACCAAATGCCTGAATCCTGCTTCATCGTAACTAAATGGTCAGGTAACAGCATCTCCCTTGTAGTTGTAATTAGTGAATAGATATGATGTCTAGAGTTGTTAGGTGGTAATAAATGGTGATTTAGGTTTATGTCATGTCCTTCTTTAAGTGCTTGTTGTTTGTTGAAAATAGATGTGTGTAGATGTGTGGGAATTTAAGTTTGTCATTAAAACCTACTGTCTAAACATTTACTAAACCCCATGCCTCATACCCGCCATTAACCAAAATCTTTTTATTCCTTTGTTCATTTATTTCATTCCTTGTTCATTAAAACCCCTGCTTTCATCTTTGTTCATTCACTAAACTTTTCAAACTCTTTCATTCTTTTCTTCTTTTCGTTTGAACTCTTTCTTTAATCACTATCTTTGAACTCCTTCCTCGATATGGATCCATATCCATTATCGCAACTTTCTAACTTTATTGACTTATTAACAAGTCAACATGAGCCATCATTGAATGATGGTTTCTTGTCTGTCGACCACGTTCCCGTATTCGGCACACAGGTTTCGCAAGCCACAAAGAACGCGGAAACTACTGCTCAGCGAGTTGATAGACGGACTTGGGCCCCCAATGAGGATGTGCTACTAATCAGTGCTTGGCTTAACACAAGCAAAGACCCTGTCGTGGCCAACGAGCAGAAATCTGGAACTTTTTGGAAGCGGATCGCTATATATTACGCAGAGTTTAGGGAACCTTCGATGGGTGCACCACGCGAGGCTGGCCAATGCAAGCAATGGTGGCACAAGATCAACGATCTTGTGTGCAAGTTCTGTGGAGCGTATGATGCAGCAACGAGGGATAAGACTAGTGGAATGAATGAGAACGATGTCATTAAGATGGCACACCAAATCTACTTCAATGATCAGAAGAAAAAGTTTAACTTGGAGCATGCGTGGAAGGAGTTGCGAAACGACCATAAGTGGGCTGAAATGTCGACAACCAAAACGGATCCGTCCAAAAAAAGAAGGACTGATATCGGTCAGGGTAGCTGCCGACCACCTGGAGTAAAGGCGGCGAAAGCTAAAGGGAAGAAAGCTACGGTGGACGGGAAGTCTTGTGCTGAGTTTGAGGGCATGTGGGTTTTTAGGGAGAAAGAGATGGCCATCAAAGAAAGACTCTCCAAGATGGCTCTTCTTGAAAGTCTGGTTGCCTGGAAAGAGACGCTAGCTGATTACGAGGAAGACCTAAAGAAGACGCTTATAAAGCAGCTTTTCTAGGCTGTTGTGTTGTTGATGTTTGTTTGGTTTAGACGACCTCGCATACTATCTCACCGATGGTATCTATCCAAAATGGACAACATTCATCCAATCAATTCCAGTTCCCCAAGGAATCAAAGCATCTGTATTTACGGAGCGTCAAGAGGGTGCCCGAAAGGATGTTGAGCGTGCTTTTGGAGTACTGCAATCTCGATTTGCAATTATTAAAAATCCGGCTCTTTTCTGGGATAAAAATAAATCGGAAAAATAATGAGAGCTTGTATCATACTTCATAATATGATAGTTGAAGACGAACGGGACGCTCACACTCAGTACAATGCGGAAGAAGAATTTGGCATAGGCGAGGGAACAACCAGTTCACCGGTGGATCGCTCTTATTCGACACGTATGCGTACAAATGTTCGAAATATGTTGGATACTCGGAAAAAAGTTCGTTCCACTAAAATACATGACCAATTGCAAGAAGATTTGATGGAGCATGTATGGCAAAAATTTGGCCATTTATATAACAATTAAGTTTTTTTGTTAATTTATAAGTTTAGTTTGTTCAAATTTAAATGCATGTATTGTTAAGCTTTAATGAAATAAGTTTGTTTAACAACTTTCTTTTATTTTAATTTGGTAAAAAAAAATTTTTTTTTGGAAACTCATTTCGGTCTCTCCATTGCACACCTACAACACACAGTCTCTGCAATAAGTTTTCAATCTAACTTTTTAATCAGAAACTAATTAAATATTGAGCTGGAGATCCTCATGGGTCTCTCCCATTGAGGTTGTTCTAAGGTAGCTTTCTTTTGTTGTGAGCCTCAGCAATCTTAAAGTTGCTTCTTATGGCTATACTTCTCTCACCAATCCCATCGCTTTCTACTAAACACTTCCCATGTGTTCGTCTTCTCCTTCGGATATTATCCACTCCAATATGCAAACACAATCAAGTAACTGAGGCACAGTCGAACACGATAAGTTACAATAGGGCCCATTTAGCCCAATAAGTTTATCGTATTTTAGTCACAACGGGCTCAAATGTTTGGCCCCACAAATGACAACTCTTCGAACTCAACAACGCCCTACTTTTTTGAGACAACACGGTGTGGTGGGCTTTGAAATATTGACCACCATTTCCCACCTTATGACAACTTTCACACATCAAAATTCACACATATATATTCTAGAATTGTTATTGCACACACACACCAAAAAAAAAAGAGTGTATTTTGTTCTAATATATTCGATCTGATTAGTGCTTAAAGTTTAAGCGGTGTGTAACATTATATTTTGCGGTTAATATCAAGTATCAACTATAAGTTGCAAGAGATAGTGATACAATAAATAAAGTATTCATATATTTGGACAAGGAAGTAGCTAGCCGGGAAGACTATCCCTCAACACGAATGTGCGGATAAGATCTTTCCCTTGCCATAGATACATCGATCAATAGATGACAGATAAAACAATTGTTGCTTAAATGTATTTTTTTTCAACAACAGTCGTTAGGTTAAACTACAATTGTTGCTTAAATACAAATGATGTATTGTCATCATTTTTTGAGGTGGTAAGAAGACAATAATACTGTAATTAAAAAAATATTTATAAAAGTGTAAGTGCATATATAATTCAAATTTTTAATCTTCTTCAATTTTTCTTGTTTTGTTTAAATATTTTCAGTTTTATATACTCCTGTTGTTTGATTACACATTTCCAATCGCAATAATGGTCATTACGTACACTACTAACTTGTAATTAATTTCTAATTGTACCGTTATCGTTTTGATTACTAGTTAACGAATTTTTACCTTTATACAATGTGGGTTGTCAATCGAACCCTATCATCACAGTTGAATATGTGAAAACAAACTAAAAAAATATCCGATATTTTCAAAAATTTAGTCTAATTTGAGTGACTCATGATCTGCAAGCTATTAAGAAAACCAGACTGTTTATGGAGATATTTCATGAAAGATATATATGACATCGCCATGTGATGTTGAGAAGCACAGGCATATACATATATAAGATAATTGAAGAGGATAAGAAAAGTGTGTAATCAATCACCAAAGATATGAAAGGAGTGGCTTTGAACTCGTTACCAGATTCTTTAGCAAAAAAAACTCGTTACCAGATTGGCTTTGCCTCTTCCTTCTTGTTGCCAAACACAAAGAAAGATCCACTTCACGATTGGACACGCACTTCCTTTTGTTTTTTTTTCCCACATGTTTCTCATTTATTCTAATATTGCTTTTTAATTTCTGTTTTATTATATCTTTTTAATTTAATTAATTTAGATGAAACTACAGTATTTGAGGGAAAAATAGAGAAACCCCACAGTGCGAGGGCAGAAAATTTGTTTTTTTTTGTAAAACTATTTTAAGTAACTCGCAGAAAATTTGTTTTTTTTTTGTAAAACTATTTTAAGTAACAACGGGAATTTCAGCTTATCATTTATTATTTTCATGCCAAATCTGTTGGAAAGTTTACTATTCCTCAACTCAGAACCATCTAGGCATAATGATGGCTATACGATTTACATATAATAAAATTAATAAAACTATAAAAGCGTGAGTGAGAGAAGACAATGTGACGGAATAAAACAAAATATAGATGGGCTAGTAGACAACGATGTCAAAAACAAATATTGGCCTATACAGGTTTCGAACCTGTGACCTTCGCGTTATTAGCACGACGCTCTAACCAACTGAGCTAATAGGCCTTTGAAATGATATGCAAATAAGTTATATTTAACATAGTTATATTTAACATAATATACACGCTTGGATCATCACCTAAATGGGCTTTCACATACATTTTGTGATTTTGGATCAGAAGTATTCGAAGCCTCTTTATTCCAAACAAAGATCACGGACCTGTGTATTAGCCTTAACATTTGAGAAATTTAAATAATTGGAAAATTATAATATTCATTTCAAGTTAGGATAGATATTCATCAACTACGTACATATGAATGTATACAGAGATAGAGAGATTTTTCTTTTTATTGAAGAAAGAGATATAGAGATATGAAAATGAAATATAGAGGTTTTGTGGTGTAACACGAAGGATATATGATATTGAACGTGGTGGTTAGAAGAAAGCATCAACGTAGATGCTATCTGCAGCGTATACATCATATTCATATGTACTTCTGTTTACGATTGATTTTATATTCGATTGAATATACTAGATAAATCTTTTTTTAAGAAAAAAAAACAAAAACAAGCCATCGTTCACTAATATTTTTTTTAATAACAAATTTCTTAAGTTAAATTTATAACTATACTTTTTCCAGAAAAATGTTAACACCGATGATATACAAGATTTTATTTTAAAGAGTTGTTACATTTTAGCGTTTAAGCTATAATGATTTATTTTGAAATTGAGACTTTTTAAAAAGATACATATATACATGTATATATATATAATGGTGGGGCTGAAAGCTAATGATGTGTACAGTAATTGGACATTTGATGTGGCTGGATTGGACCCAACTTGCTCTTTGATGGAGACCTAACTAAGACAACTTTGCTCTTCATTCATTTCTTCTTGAGAACTTGGGTTGCCACGTCATCACTTTCCCCGATCTATGTTGCTTGTCCAGTTGTCCGGTCTACACTATTGAATTAACTATACACAGTGTTTCACAACAAAGCAATGGTCTATTGTATTTTTGATCAATAGAGATTAAGATTTTAATCCGTTCTTCCAACTTTAGTAAAATCCGATCTTGTGTTAAATCTTTGTTTGAAGATATTTATCAAATATTGAACTATGTTCTTTAATTTGATTTTTCGATCTTAGTCAGGACTATGAAAAAACCGTTTGCAAATTGGTGTACTGTATGTGGACAAATCATTCAAAAAAAAAGTCAATATCCTCCGTAGACAACTGTTGAATTTAAAACAATATCTATCAGACTTGAATTAGTAAGCATACCCAAATTTACTTTTTTTCATTCTTCATAATTACGAAACATGAATGAAAAGATCCTATACTTTGCAGAGTGGCCATTTCCTAAAACCTATTTAAAAATCTTGCGTTACCGTGATACAAAGATCACTCATGGAAGACAATTATTGGGGTCTGCTTCAAAACGACTGTAAGGCTTTACTTTTTATAACCACTTTGAATGATAATTAATATTTGAGACGACACTGAAGATAGATATTAGATTCAATTAATGATAACTAATCATATTTTTAGTATTTGGAAGCTAATATACAGTTTAGTGGAGAATCTGGAGATGGTGTATATGTTGTGGTACGATATATCAACTGAATGAGAGTAGAAATGAATATTTATTGGGAAAAAGCGAGTGGAGGAGAAGTAACAAAGGCGAAGACAATGGATATTATTGGGGTGTTGTCTTTAAGGCCACGAGCTTAGATTCTTTTAGTTTTGCTCAATTTGTTGCTTACTACTTTTGCTCATGATCACCATATACATATCATACATATATATAGTATGCTATCATCGAATGGGTTTCTACTCTCTATCTTATAACTCGTGTATCATTTCAAATCTCAAGACGTACATGTTTAAATTTGGTTATGTTACTACGATCATTTCGGTATATATGGTCATGGCATACCAGATTTAATATATCTGCTATGAAGAATATGAATATGAAATGTACATAGTTCAGTTAATGACTACAAATTATTTTAATATCAATCAATTACAAAATTTACATATTTTTAATTTTTACTAGTAGGACCAATCCTAATATATCAGAGGCCACTAACATACAAATTTAAATGTTGTTTCATTCTGATTTTATTTTATTTTTTTTTATAGTAAAAGAATTAATTTTTAATCTATACTTTGATAATTTTACAGTAACAAATTTTTTTTACGAAACAATCATTTGTCATCATATTTTCATATTTTAAAGCGGCACAAAGATTTTTTAAAGATATGATTAACAGTTTAACATCAAATAACGTATATACGTATAGTTACTTAAATTAAACACAAAATCATTTGCAACTTAATTACCACATTTACAAATGTAACTCAATTGAAAACCTTTTTCGTGTAAAGGTTAATTCTACTAAACGACATTGAAACTTTACAAAAGAAAAAAAAAAGATAACATTTGAGGAAGAAAAAGCAGCATTTGAAATATGAGTTATGATTTCCGATTAACAACGAATTTAAAAGTGTATGACTAACAACAAAGTTCAATTGATCTTTGTCCAGATCATCTACAGATTAATTAGAATACGTACACATACAAAGCTTCACAAAGTACATTTTTTGAGTTTATATTTATTAAATCCTGTTTCATTAAATCCTGCGTATAAATCCGTGAACGCAATACATTACACAATTGTCAATTGGTTCTCAACTCTACCAAAAACATCTATTACAAAAAAAAAAGGTCTATTTGTACTTCACTGTTACCGCTGAACATTAAATATAAATAAATTTAATAAAACAAAGGGTTCATACTTTATTCCTAAAGAATAGTAAAAAATAGGGTAATAAAGTAGATAAATTTAGTTAAAAAATATTGATTATTTATTTTTGTTGGTCCAGATTTTGTTTCGTAGATCTACAGGGAAATCTCCGCCGTCAATACAAAGCGAATGCGACACTTGGGGAAGGTTCACTGGACCGTACGATGCTACTCTCTCTTCACGAGACGTCGATAATCTATCTTTTTCATTTTTGCGTTCATTTATGAGAAAACGTGGACCCATTTTTAGTACAAATACACCAATGAGAAGTCGACAACAAATCCTTAAAAACCAGAGTAGTTTTTTTTTGCAACAAGGAAAAACAGCTATAGCATTTCCCTAAAACCGCTCTTACCCAAATCTCTCCATAAATAAAGAGTGAAAGAAAGATCCCGAGACTCAAACACAGTCTTATTATAAAGGAAAGAAAGAAAAAAACTTTCCTAATTGGATCATACCAAAGCCTGAGCTCTTCTTTATCTCTCTTCTTGTAGTTTCTTGTTTTGTTTGGTTCTTTTAGAGAAAGAAGTTTTTCTTAAAATGGGAAGGGGTAGGGTTCAATTGAAGAGGATAGAGAACAAGATCAATAGACAAGTGACATTCTCGAAAAGAAGAGCTGGTCTTTTGAAGAAAGCTCATGAGATCTCTGTTCTTTGTGATGCTGAAGTTGCCCTTGTTGTCTTCTCCCATAAGGGGAAACTCTTCGAATACTCCACTGATTCTTGGTAACTTTCTATTTAAAAAAACAAATATGTCTTTAATTACTTGATTTGTCTCATGTTTTTTCTTAAGTTGACTACTTGATTTGCCCTAATTAGTAACTACTGCTCTTATTTAGGTATATTCTAGGGTTTCTATTTGTTTTGGAACATAACTAGTTAATCTTTACCGAATCTGTTAATTACTGTATGAAATGTTTAATACTCTGACTCGCATTAAATACAAAATATAAATCTAGCCCTAGAACATTCACTATACTATAAATCTGGATAAATATGTATATGTCTATGCATCATGTCTTCTAAATAGAGAGCAAATAGAAGGGTGAATGTTTAATTACTGAGCTAGGGTGTTGAAGCCCTAAACTCATTATGAAATCTTTTGTTCTCCCAACTATGTCTTCCAAAGTTTTGCAAATCCACTTTTCAATTAATTGAAGTAAAAAATGTTTAATTCCACACTCGGCTCTTCGAAATATAACTCAAGTATTGAATGTAATTGCTTTTTCGTCTAATGTTTTTGCAAATGGAGTATTAATACTATAGATAAGAGGAAAATAAGTGATGACACAAAAACTGGAAATATGTAAGGATTTCTACTTAATTCTAGATTATATAGAAGGGTTACTGTTTTCTTTCTGAGCTGGGGTATTTTTTTCAGCCCTAAAGTCAGTACGAATCGTTTGTTCTTCAGTTGTGTTTTCCAAAATTTTGCAAATCTAAGGAAGAAAATGCTTAATTTCACTCGGCTTTGAGAAGTATATGAACTAATAAATTTAAAACACTATAGTATTAAACGTAGTTGCTTTCTGTTTTATTTAATTTTACGTATCGAGGATGTCAAATCTGAGTAGGGAGTCTTTGACCTCTGGGGATCCACGAAAAGAATTAACTTAATCCTATGTTCGGCTTTTTACCGATGGTCAATTTAGCTCCAAGAGGCAACAGCTGTTCTTCTTTCTATTAAAAAAGAATTATCACTGTTCTATATAAAAAATGATATTTTTAAATTGGTGATTTTACCAGCTTACAATATTTTATTATAGTATAACAAGGTTTGTATGTACATAATTATAACAAATTTAAAGACACCGCATTTAGAACTCGTAGCTAAAGATGTTAGGGCTAATGATTCATACAGTGGAATTATAAAGACCGGTACAGGATTTGATCTAGGACATCGCGGTTAAAGGCATATTAACAATCATTAAGAGCTAGCTAAATTTACTTCACATTGTCATGATGAAGACACGAGCTTATCCAAATTTTATATGGTAATATGTTTTTCGTATAATATAATAAAGTGTTTGATGATCTGACACAAGACCTAATTTCGTGAATTGAATAGTATGGAGAAGATACTTGAGCGCTATGAGAGGTACTCATACGCCGAGAGACAGCTTATTGCACCTGAGTCGGACGTCAATGTATATCACTATCTCTCCTGTAACTTTTTTTTTTTTTTTTGGTTAAATCTCTCCTGTAACTTGAATAGAGAGTATCTATCTATTTATCATATATACTGATGAATTGTATTTGTATAAAACTTGTGAGATGCAGACGAACTGGTCGATGGAGTATAACAGGCTTAAGGCTAAGATTGAGCTTCTGGAGAGAAACCAGAGGTACAGTTATTATACTCATTATATGTGATATATATAGGAATAAATTTAATAAGAAATTGTTAGCAAAAATTATATCTGAAATTGTAAGCAATAATGAAAGTAAAAATATGCATGGATGCTATTGAAAATCAGGCATTATCTTGGAGAAGACTTGCAAGCAATGAGCCCTAAGGAGCTCCAGAATCTGGAGCAGCAGCTTGACACAGCTCTTAAACACATCCGTTCTAGAAAAGTATGAATCCTCGTATTTCTTGAACATATATTCAACTTAAACATATACAAGCTATGATTTGAATATTTGAATACATATGTGTGTATATCCTTATATATGCCTTTGTTAATTGGTTTTATTTTTTCTTTTAAAAAGACAATATAATGCATTAGTCACGTAAATATGCTAAAACTTGGATTCAAATGTATGGCTTTTCATATTTAGAATCTTTTTTCGTATAAGACTCATATTACTCAAAGTTCTTAATGGTACGTTGATTAATCTCATGTCGTGTGTTATGCAGAACCAACTTATGTACGACTCCATCAATGAGCTCCAAAGAAAGGTATGTAAAAACCCTATCAAAGGTATGTATACATAGAGAAACCGCGTGTAACTAACAACCGTGCCGTTTTGGAAATGACAGGAGAAGGCCATACAGGAGCAAAACAGCATGCTTTCCAAACAGGTGACACGTGCCATTATTTATCTTTCATCGATCAACATGCTTTCCATTAAATTACTGCTACGTTCTACTGTTCTACTCCACACTTCAAGCCAAGCTATACCTACGAGATCTTCATATCTCCACTTAACTTCGGCACTGGCCAATAAAATATATATTTTTTATAATTAAGTAGAGTAGATATTATCTATTGATTATTATAATCATCAGCATGTACGTAGATGAACTTTGTCCGTTTAGTTTTAAGGTTGTCTCTCGGATTGAAATTATTTGGACTTGAAAACGTCATCTACATCTCATTCTACTTAGGTCATCTATATATATAGGGCAGGTATGTGAATATAGACACTACCACTCGCAATTAAAAATATTGGGCTAACATTTGCAAGCTAGGATAAAACAATTTGAGGATATAATATAAGACATGTACAAGAGTTTATTTCATGAATGCTAGGAATTATTAGTTTTAACCAAATATCTAATCTAAATGCAATTACGTTTGAAGATACATATCAGTTTATTTATGAACTCGTCGCTTTGAAAATTGATGATGGTGATGATTGTATGGTATAGAACGAGTTGGTAACAGAATTTTGTGTGCGAAACTGGAATTTGGCAGATCAAGGAGAGGGAAAAGATTCTTAGGGCACAACAAGAGCAATGGGATCAGCAGAACCATGGCCACAATATGCCTCCCCCTCCGCCACCACAGCAGCAGCAGCATCAAATCCAGCATCCTTACATGCTCTCCCATCAGCCATCTCCTTTTCTCAACATGGGGTAATTAAAAGTTACTAATTCATTCCTCTTATTTTCAAGAATATATAAGTTAGACGTTAGGTGTTGTTAGTTAGGTTCTATGTTAGTGATGATTAGACGTTTAAGCTGTGAATTAAGTATACTCTGACTAAGAATATTCATATATTAACGTAGGTTAATGCAATGGTCGTCAAACGAAACTTATATAGTTTGGAAATGGTAGATGGAATGGTTGCGAAAAGCCTAAGAAACCGTTGGGATCAGTTCGATTTCATTGTTCTTGTTTAAAATTAAATTTGTGATAAACCCAAGAAAACAAATTGAGTCAGTTAGATAAATATACTCTCTTTGATATTTCAATATGGACTTATCATTAGATTTCCCATATTTATTTGACCTATTTACGATGAGACGTATGATTTTTTTTTCTGCACATATATGTTTTAAGTGAATTATATGTATCATGTGTATGAATGTGCACACAGTGGTCTGTATCAAGAAGAAGATCCAATGGCAATGAGGAGGAACGATCTTGATCTGTCTCTTGAACCCGTTTACAACTGCAACCTTGGCTGCTTTGCCGCATGAAGCAATTCGATATATATTTATAATCGTCAATAATAAAAGCGATCAGCCAAATATATAGAAATAGTGGCTATTCCCTTTTCATATAATTAATTAAATATCTTCTTTAAGTATTTTCTGCTTCAGTATGTGGCAAAAAAGTTGTAATATATTTCAAGATCCAGAGAGAATGAGTGAGAAAACTTATTCGATCCCACTTTTTTCCAACCTATTATCATTAATTTACTTCTCCTCATGGCTGATTAGTTAAAGGCAGATTTTAACCACAGGTTCAGTGGTTTATATATATATATATATATATATATATATATATGTACACAAATTTCGTATGTACCTAAAAGTTTGATTTCGGGCAAACCAAAATGTATGGTACATCGAAATAGAATTCTTAGAGGACTTAATTTTTTTAATTCCTAACCCTAATAAGAAACCATGGCTTTCCAGTTCAGTATGAAAAATTACCAAGAATCTTCATTCATCAGATACAATTACAAGATGGTAAACAACAAATTCAACGAGTATACTGGAATTAGCTTGTAGATTTTCAATCATGACAAACATTTGTTTCCAACGACTGTTTTCTGAAAAGAGAGAGCCTCATTTGCTACCCGTTCCTCCACTGCGTAACCCTCTATCGTATAAAATACTAAGTTGAAACACAATCATGATTCCAACTTTTAACTACCTTCTTATTTCAGTTTTGTCATCGATCGTCCCGTTGAAGAAACCCCTTCTCCTCTTAGTTCAAAGAACTTAAACCATATCGGTTTCCCATTTCTCTCTATCTATAAATTTCTCTTAGTCACCACAAGAGAAGTGATTCCACTGAAATTATCCGATGAAAACAAGCAGTGTAAGGCCTTAAAGCTTCTTTCATCCTTTCTTCCATCATTGGAGACTAAACACTCTTTATTACTTCAAGATTTTGACTCTAATTTTATGGAAAATAGAAACGGAACTTTTTTATTGTATTACATAAACGTGTACAGACAGGATTTGGAGGTCAAATAGACTTAGAGATTAAGGTGAATTTTCTACCCAATTCCTAGTACTTATCACATATAATTCTCCCAGTAAACACCACAAAAAAAAATATATATCCAATCGTTTTTTTTTTCATTTAACAAGCCAAAAAGAATGTGGTCTAAGTCTTCCAAAATCTATAAAAGAAAATCTGCAGCCGCGAAGAATCCGAGGATGTCTCTTATCGTCGTTACTTCACTTGCTCTGTAATTTCACCCTCCAAGAAATGCATTGTCTGTGGAAATCACAAACCATATATCAAACCCAATTAATTTTTTTTTTTAAATTACATTAAAAAAATTGGATAGACACAATTAGACATATATGTTAATATTTATAACAACCTTGGAACAAAAGGGACAAGCTTCACTTCTCTCCATCCATTCATAAATGCATGAAAGGTGAAAGATATGTCCACATTGCAATACTATCTTCGGATTATCCTCAATGTACTCTGTCTCCAATCACAATTGGAATTGTATATATTAACACACACAAACGTTTTTTAAATACAATTTATAATATACGATTGTGTATTTTTACCATAGAAACATGTCGGACAAACATCTTCTTCGTTGTCAGTGGGAGAGGAAGCTTCCCCTCTTTCCAGGTTTTGAGATAGTTGCTCGAACTGGATCAACAATGAAGTGTCAGCTATTGAATAGTTCTGAATAAATTTCGAACGGAAAATAAAAAAGGAAATTAGGGTTTAGAATGTGGAGGTACCTTGGAGAGAAAGTTATTCGTTATTGGGCAACTCAAGGCTCTGATTCTGGATACGTCTCCAGATTGATCATCTTGCCCCGGAACTCGAAAACAGCAAAGTAGAATACCCATTGATCTGAACTAATGGAGATCACCAATACTAATAACAAAGATTTGGGTTAATCAAGTAGGTAAAGATTGGATCACTGAAGATACAGAGAAAATACAAGACTTGGGGAGAAAACAGAGGAAGTTAAGAAGATTGATTAATTTTTTTTTCTTTCGGTTCTTCATACCTTTGGATCGAACTGAGAGAATGCAGAAGGAAGAAAGAATCAATTAAGAATGAGAAAAAGCAACAAACTTTGAAGCTTTGGTCCGTAATTGCAGCGAAGTAGGATTCTTTGGAGAGCAGCACAAGGAAACGTGGAGATTTTGTGGGTATATTTTTTTGACGTGTCATACCAAAAGTGTTTTGGAAGTTTGACTGTTTTGGGAATGTTGACTTATTTTTTAGAATTTCCGGTTTACAAATTCCACCTCCGTCGGTTATTACTTATTGTATATGCTTTGATTCCTTTTTTTTTGGGCAACATGCTTTGATTCCTTAAATGCAAGAAAAAGCTAAAAAGTTAAAAACTAACTAAGGAATTCATGTTTTTCATAAGTTATATTAGGATTTGTGTATATGCAAAAAGTTATATTTTTGTTTATACCTAATGTATCATGATTATGTGAATTACTAATTAATTTTGAGACATTAGCTTTATATATATAAAGATAAGAATTTTTTTTAATTATAAGTTTGTAGTTAGTTTCGAAAGGGAAAAGCAAAAGATAGTTATGGTGGTTACACTTACCTGATTTCATGCCATAAGATAATGTTATTAACATTTCAGGTCTACTTCTTTTCAAAGTTGGAGTAAAGATTAGCTAATAAACTAAACTAATTTTTTGGAAATGAGCCATTACGGTGGCCACAGTTCTATTTCTTTTCTATTATTTGCGCCCCCTCCCCCTTCAAAAAAATAATTGGGAATGAAAATTCTGCGAATTTTCTTTATCCATGTGACCGGTTACAATGTCGGAATTTCAAAGAAAAAAATCTAAACAAAACTATTGATTTTTAAACGAAACTATCGATTTCTTTTAATACAATTTAAGCCAACAACGAAACTATATATTAATTAAACGTATTAGTTATAAGCTAAACTATAATCATATTACAGTATATCATCTATTTGCTTAACACTATATGAATGATACTTATCCGATACTTATTTACTTTTTTTTGTATCCGATACTTATTTACTTTAATTTAACTATGTTTTTTTTTGTCGAAAAAAAACTATGTTCTATAGGGCCAGTAACAATAATCGGTTGGCATGAATTAGTGTTGGGCCTACGGCTTGATGATGAATAAACATGCTAAAGAAGAAGGGCCAACAACACTCGATGTCTCATAATAGAGACCAAAAGAGTTCCTACAACATTATCTAAACACATATTAAGTAATACAAAAGTATCACAGATATAGAAAAACTGAGCTTTGGGAAAAAAAAATGTACACCTGTTTCTCACTGTTTAGCTATGTACTGTTTGTTTTTATCTAAAGTGCTCTCCTATACAAATAATGAAGAATGAAATAACAAAGAATATCGTAGATCTTGTTACTTGCATGTAACTTTACGCGTTTCACCAAAAATTAGTACGTGTGGTTTTTAAACAAATAACTAAATTGTCAAATGTGTCGAACGTACTATATATGACATTTAGGCACTATCTATACTAAGTGATATTTTTATCAACAGAATTGGATTGCAAAACCGGAGGAACATAAGCATTAATAAAAAGTAAGACTCACCTAAACGAATCCTAAATGGTTTTAGAATTCGATTAATGTGGAATGAAAGATAACCATAAAATATGTCAATTATTTTTGGTGAACATTATTAGTCATTGCAAAATTCACAACGATTCTATATCCTATGTGGGTGTGGATGTGGATGTCGGTGCTATACACAGAAATACACACATTTATTTATCGATTCCTAAATGGAAGAAATTGAGGCTTTCTATATATAAAAATGTGGGGAGCTACCAAAAGCAGGATAATAATTACACATTATTATAGCTCATAATTTCATTTACTTTCTCCACCTTCTTATACCATCTTCTTGTCCTTTTCCATTGAAATGAAGAGAAAAAGAGAATGGGAAAGAGAGGAGAAGGATTCTTCCTAAACAGAATACGGGCTCATGTAAGAGTCCAACCACCGACGACTACGAACCATCATGGCTGCATCCAAGGGCCACCAAGCTCCTCCACAGAGATAAAAGGAAGAAGAATAGTGGTTTTGGTTGATTCTTGCTCAGAGGCTAAGAATGCTCTGCTTTGGACTCTCTCCCATTGCGCTCAGCCTCAAGACTCCATTCTTCTTCTCCACTTTCGTAAAGCTAAACCCTCTCAATCAGGTTGATTCTCTTTTTTCTAATAAATTTCCCACAAAATTTAGGATTCTTTTTTAGATACACAATAAAAAACTTGATAGTGTTTTGTAAAAATTTGCAGAATTAAGCATCACAAATAGTAAAACATATTTGATGTGTGATTATTATTGCTTTTGTTTCTAGATGCTCTAGCTAATGAAGAAGAGGAATCTTATGACAAACACACATTGTCAAGAGCTTATCAAAAAGTTTCAGCCTTGAAAAACATTTGTGAGCTTAAAAGACCTGAGGTTCATAATATATCTATTCATCATACCATTTTTTACCTATTAAACATTTTCAAATTCATCTATAAATTATGCTCCGTTCAGTTTCTGTTTCTGAAACAAACAAAAAAATCAAATAATAATTTGTTGAAATAAGGTAAAGACAGAGATGGTGGTTGTGGAAGGTGTTGAGAAAGGTCCGGCCATAGTGAAAGAGGCAAGAGAACGTGGAGCGTCCTTGCTGGTTCTAGGCCAGAAGAAACAGCACACCACGTGGCGGCTACTGATGATATGGGCCTCACAGGCCCGACAAATGACCAAAAACGACGTCGTAGAATATTGCATTAACAACTCTCCTTGTATGGCCATTGCGGTTCGCAAGAGAAGCAAGAAACTTGGTGGATACACTCTTACAACTAAGCGTCACAAAGATTTCTGGCTTTTGGCCTGAATAATTACTATTGTTTATCCACATAATAGATTTTTTTTTTTTTCTGTAAGTCGTAACATTTACGTTTAATCATGGTTGTGGTCCTTGTGGACTTGTTGGGTGCAATTATTATACCAGCTTACTTCTGCCATTAATTAGATTTGTTATTGTTTGTATGTAAACAACTTTAATTAAAGGTTTGGATTCTTATAGAAAACCACTGATATCGTAAATTTGAACAATCAAGCGTATTCAAATTTTCATAACTACAAAAAAAAAAAAAACAAATTTGTTGATAGTGAATCCACATAGTATACAAGATCACCGTCAGCAGATATATTAAAAGTATATATCAGGTATAACTACTTAATACTTTTGATTTTTTTATTGGCTACACAAACTACTAAAGTTCGGCTGGAAACGTTCATACCAATTAAAAATTCAAAACCACATCTCTATATTATTATTATTATTATTTATGTAGATATTTTAAATAAATAACCTTTATTTTATAAAATATTATATAATATGCCATTACAAATAACAAAAATTAATTAAAAATAAGAAATAATATATAATTAAAATAACCTTTATTTTGTAAAATATTACATGATATGCCATTACAAATAACTAAATATAATTTTGTATTTTAATTAATTCTATATCAAACTAAGTTTACAAAATATTATATTTATTTACATATATAGTTAAAAAAGATAAAAATGCTTTTTTATAGTTTGTGGACAGATTATAAAACTCAGTTATTAAACAATGCAAATTAGATTTAATGATTATAATATTATAATATTTTGTATATTAGTTTCAATAATATATTAGTTTAATACCAACAAGTTAAATAAACAGTTTATTTTGTTTTATCCACTTATAAAATAACTTTATATATATAGATTAACTTATTTTTTATAATTCAAACCAAAACATAAAAATTACTATATATACAGATAACTGATTTTATAAAGTTCACAAAATAACTATTTTTATAAAATACTGTTTTTGAAAAATAATTGTTTTTATAAAATAATTGTTTTTGCAAAATTATTTAACGTAATTGAAGGTCAAAAAAACTATCCATCTGTTACATCGCGGGTTAATTCCAGTGTAATTACTAAATTATTAAACATCCGTATAGAGTGTTAGTAATTAGGCCGATTAGAGAGAGTTGTTATTTTGTGCCGGCATCGTCCCAAAAGGAAGGCCTAGTGGGCCTTATAGAAAAGAAGGAAAATGGGCCATAAATGAGAATATGGGCTTATAGGTCAAATTGAACCCGACCCGACCCGCCCGGTTCTGCCTTCTTCTTCCTATTACTGAACTTTTCGATATGAAAAGCAGAACGCCCAAAACCCTGTTCGAGACTTCGTAAACCCTAGCCACCGTCGTAGCCGCCGCATTACTCTGAGTTAATCATGGGGAAGGGGAAAGGGAAGGTGAAGGAGAACCAAACGAAGAAGAAGCCTGATAAAAAAGGCGGCAAAAAGATGGGACCAGATGCAGTCGCCATGAAAGCCAAGGCCCAGAAGGCCGAGAATCCATTCGAGTCAATCTGGTCTCGGCAGAGGTTCCCCGTCCTCGGAAAGAAGAATGAAGGCGGAGAACGCCGCGTCGGTCTTTCACGATCTCGCGCTGTTGATAAGAGGAAGAACACGCTGCTTAAAGAGTACGAGCAGAGTTTGAAAGCTTCGGTTTTTATGGATAATCGTATAGGAGAGCATAACGATGAGCTTGGAGAATTCGACAAGGCTATAATTCGATCGCAGAGGGAACGCCAGGTCAGCTATTGAAAGAGAAAAAAAAAACTTGAGAAGTCATATGCTTCAATGACATCAAGCAAGAGTTTTATATTTTTTGGATTTTATAAACTGGATTTACTGAAATTGAATTCTTGCTTTCATGTAGCTGAAACTAGCAAAGAAGAGCATGTATAATTTGTCTGATGGGGAGGAAGATATTTATGAAGATGGTGCTCTTGGTGGTTCTTCTGTTAAGGATGATTTTGATTCTGGACTATTGTCTGATGAAGATCTTCAAGACGATGATCTGGAAGGTGCTGGATCAAAGAGTATGTTTCTCTTGATAACACTTCTGCTAATGCCCTCATATAATGGATTCAGTTATTCTAGCATCGAAATTTTTGACAACCTTATATAATCGGGAAGAGCCACTTCTACTTTCTTTAACTCTTAAATTGTGTCTCCCTTGACAAAAGCTAATATTGTCTAACCATTTTCTGACATAGGACTGAAGCATTTAAACAGAAACAGATCGGTTGACCCATCTGGAGAGGAAGAGGTAAGAACAGATCTCATAGATGTCTGAGTGTAATTTACCTTGATGGTTGATTAATTTGGCATTGCTGATGTTCTTGGATTCTCTCTGCAGAGGCATAAGAGCAAGAAGGAAGTCATGGAAGAGATCATCATGAAGAGCAAACTTGGCAGGGTGACTATTCGACTGTTTTTCTTGTATCTTCTTTCGCATGGCATGTCAATTTATAGTTGGTAATTTTTTTTTCTTGGTTTTCTAGATGGAGAAAGCTAAGCAGAAAGAAGAAAAGGAGAAGCTGATGGATGAGCTGAATAAAGACTTCATGTCCTTAGTAGACTCTGAGGCGATGAAGAGTTTAACTCAACCTTTTAGACTTCAAGAGGTGAACAATGGTCACGTATTGCAGTTGTTTACATACTGAGCGTCTGTATTTATGCTATGGGTGTTAGTAGGCTTCTCGGTTAGAGAGTTTTCTTTTGCTTGACGTAATCCCTTTTGTCTACAGGATAAAAATGATGATTATTATAAACTTATGGATGCTATGTCAATGGATATTCGTGGTCGTCCTTCTGAGAGGACTAAGACACCTGAAGAAATTGCCCAAAAAGAGCGAGAAAAATTAGTGGCTCTTGAGGTATGTTTCTGTCGAAAGTCATTGCAGACTTGCAGTTTTACATGGTGACGTGTTACAAAACGAATATGATGAGCCAGTATAAATAAGTCTCTTTTCTGATTTTGTTATCAAGGTCTTTTGGTTGACATCATTTAACCTTGAGACTATTTTTTTAATCTCTTAGGCAGAGCGTAAGAAGAGGATGCAAGAAACTGAGGATTTGAGCGACGGGGATGAGGAAAGTGGTGGTGAGGAATCAGCAAAGAGGCTAAGATCCGTTTCTGGCGATGATCTCGGTGATTCATTCTCAGTTGATGAAGAGCAGCCGAAAAAGGGATGGATTAATGAAGTTCTTGAAAGAGAGGATGGTGTTGATAATTCAGAAAATGATGAGGATGATGGTTCGTCTGAAGATTCAGAAAGTGAAGGGGAAGATGATGATGATGATGGAGAGTCAGATGGGTGTAATAATAAACAGAGAAAAGGTCATCCTTTAAAGGACTGGGAACAAAGTGATGATGAGCTAGAGGCAGAGCTGGAAGATGATACTGACGATGATGATGATGATGAAGAACAAGAGGAGCCAAGAGTAAATAAAAAGTCGAAGAATGACTATGCTGCTCCATCTAAAGGAGAAGCGTTATCTGAAACAGTGAAGCAAAAAACTAATATGAAGAAATTGAGTTCAACGCAGCGTGATATTGCTTACGTGATTGATGCTCCAAAGAACTATGAGGAATTGATTGCTCTAGTAGAAGATTGTTCCAATGAAGATGTTATTTTAATTGTCAGCCGAATAAGGACGAATAATTCAATAAAGGTTGCAGCTGAAAACCGAAAAAAGATGCAGGTAATCTTTATTACCACTCTCAAGGATAACATTATCCATTTACCTGTTTGTAGTTTTTTCAGGCCCTTGAATTGGTTCATGTCTCACTTGCTTTCTTAATGTTTGTTTTTGTCTGCCACCCAGGTCTTCTATGGTATTCTCTTGCAGTATTTTGCCGTTCTTGCAAACAAGAAGCCCTTGAACTTTGAGTTACTAAATATGCTTGTCAAACCTTTGATTGAGATGAGCATGGAGATTCCCTACTTTGCTGCAATTTGTGCTCGCCAGCGGCTTTTAAAAACCCGTGCACAATTTTGCGAGGCAATCAAGAATCCAGGTTTGTAATGCGTCCATAACCTTGAGTTTTAGCGTCCTCAAAGATGCATGCCTCTTCCATCTTTTTGACCTAACAAGTTCATAATCATTCTTCCAGAGGATGGATGCTGGCCTTCCTTGAAAACATTGTTTCTCTTGAGGCTTTGGTCCATGATTTTCCCTTGCTCTGACTATCGTCATGCTGTGATGACCCCGTCGATATTGCTGATGTGTGAATATCTCATGCGATGTCCCATCTCCTCTGGTCGTGATATTGCCATAGGTTCCTTCTTATGCTCCATTGTTCTAGTGGTAAGGAGAATTTTTTTGATCCCCACCCTTTTTCCTTGGCTATTACCATTTTCTATTTTTTCTCATGTAAACTAAATACTATTGTAGGTTGCTAAACAATCTAAAAAGTTCTGCCCCGAAGCCATACTATTTATACGGACGCTTCTGATGGCTGCTTCAGACAAAAAGTCACCATCTGAGGAATCTGAGGTACATCCAATTTTACAAGCTCAATGTTACATTTAAGAACTGAAGAAGCACACAGGCAACTGTTGTTACTGGAGCTGATGAACTTTTGTGTATTGTGTTACAGTTTTACCACTTTATGGAATTAAAATCGCTGACTCCATTGCTCTGCATACAAGACCACGTAAAGGAGGTCGTGCCTTTAAACTTTCTAAAGATAATGGATCAGCCAGCAGACTCTCCATATTTCAGCTCTGACGAGTTCAGGTCTGTTCTCTCTTCTGAAATCAAATTTTCAGTTTAATATATCAACACTAGAAGTGTGTCATACTCTTGGCTTTTGATTAAACAGAGCAAGCATCATTTCAAGTGTGGTTGATACTCTTAGAGGGTTTGTGGAGATAAACGGAGGATTGAGTTCTTTTCCAGAGATCTTCATGCCCATCTCAACTTTATCACACCAAGTTGGGAATCAAGAAAAGATCCCACAAACGCTTAAGGAGAAATTAGAAGATGTCGCGCAGCTAATCGAAAAGAAAACTGATGAGCATCGCAAGCAACGTAAACCACTCGCTATGCGTAAGCATAAGCCAATAGCCATCAGAATGGTCAATCCCAAATTCGAAGAGAAGTAAGTTTTTCTCTCTCTCCTCAAAATCCCAAACTCAGTTTCTTACAGTGATCGATTACACAGGGATGATCTCTATAATTGTGTATATATGTTTGTTATGTGCAGCTTTGTCAAAGGCAGGGATTACGATCCAGACAAAGCCCGTTCCGAGCACAAAAAGTTGAAGAAATTGCTGAAACAGGAAAGGAAAGGAGCAGGACGTGAGCTGCGCAAAGACAGCTACTTCATGAGCGAGGTTAAAGCAAAAGAAAAGGCTGCACGCGAGCAAGAGAGAGCAGAGAAACATGGCAAAAATTGGGCTTTCCTTCAAGAACAAGAACATGCTTTCAAATCTGGACAACTTGGTAAAGGCAAAGGCAAGAAGAGAAAGCGTTAATAACAGTTACTTTTTGTTCTATTTTTTTTTTTGCTTTACCTCCAACAGTTTTGTTTTTTGTTGGATAATATTGGAAAACTGATTTACAAAAATATTTATCTCTTCTACGAATCCCCAAAAAAAAAAGACAAATAAAATCGTCATTGGTCAATGTTAGGATAAAAATTTGTCCTTCATACGAGCAATAAGCTTAAATTTTTCTTCTGCTTCGACTTGCTGTTTGATGTCACCTCTTGATGCCCTGTCCGGATGGAATTTCAGTACGGCTCGTTTGTACGCTGCGTGTACCTAATTTCAAAAATGGTTTCGTTTATGATATGAAACCGTACAAAAAGCAGTTAGTATATGCAACTAACTGTAGAGAGAGATGGCAAACCTCATGTGGCATAGGAGATGTTCCACCAACAACAGAAATCCCCAAGCCTCGAAGCAACGACGCCATGTTATTGCATTTGAGTTCAAGAAGTTTAAGCGATTTGGTTATTTCTGCACGGACTTTCTCTTTCATGTTCATGCTTTCTTCATCCTGGAGTTTAGAGATGGAAAAGCGTTAATGTGTATAAGCAAATCAACACAACAATCATGAGCGACCACTGAGGAAGAGTAGAAACCTTCTTCTGTGTCTCTCTCACTTCCTCTACCCTCTCCTTTTGCCTTCTTTCCATCTCCAACTGTCGCGTGTTTGCTAACTTTATTCTCTTACGTTGCCTCTGAGCTTCTTCTGCCTGCAATAATTCCGTTAATAAACACTTTTAAGACAAAGATTATTTGAACGTGAGCTTTCAGAAACTTTTAGCAGTGTGTGGCTAAACCTGGAGCTGTAATTGCCGTTGCCTGGACTCCCATTCCTCTTCTTGTGCTTTCTTGTATTCATCTGTCTCTTTCAACTTCTCTCTGTTAAGCATGACATCTATTGTAGGAGCTGTACCATGAAGACCTTGCAATTGTCCACTAGTAGATGGGATAGGATCAATGATCGGTTCACTTGATTCACCTAAACTCTGGGTGCCTAGAACATGCGTTGTATCTCTATCCCCATCAGAGGTCTGTGGCCGAGAAGATTTTGAGGCGTCTTCTTCTTCTACAACTTCCTTCGTATAAGACTGATCTGCTACCTTTTTCTTTTGATTCTCTTTGGGCTGAACTCGCACTGTGTCTGCCTGTTCATCAACTTCTTTGAAACCATTTTGATGTATCGGTTCTTTTGACGAAGTAAAATTAGCTGATGGTGAATCAGACCTTTCAGGTTCGCGTTGTATTTCAGGTGACGGTGACGAAAACCACGGAAATTTCTCTCTAGCTCGGTTGTCTTCCTCTGTTTGCGAACCAAATAAAGACGTACCAGGATTTCTATCATCACTTCCAAGGAAAGTCGAAGACGTTTGTTTTTCACCATCTGGGTTTCTTGCCGGAACGAAGTAAGATGTTTGAACATGCTGTTCAGTTCTACTTTCAGAACCAGAACCGAAATTAGTGTCATAGTGGAGATGTGAAGGACCAGCCTCCTCACTCAGACCACCTTTACCTGATTTTTCGGTTCCAAAGAAAGTTGAGGAGGTTTCTTTTCTACTATCTGGATTTCTTGCAGCAAAGAACGAAGATGTTTGATCTTGTTGTTCACTTCTACTTTCAAAACCACGCGCGAAATTAGTGTCACAATGGATATTGGAAGGACCAGCCTCTTCACTCAGACCAACATTACCTGCTTTCTTCATTTTTTTCAAGAAAGCTTTCTCCCAATGCTCGCGGACCTCTCCATGAGAATCTTCTAAAATCTCACAATCAGAACAGTCGCTCTCTGAAAAATCACTTTCAGAATCAGGACCTAGACCAAATCGAATTCCAGAAGAGGGCATTGTAGAGAAAGTCTGTTTGCACTTTCTAAATCTAAAAGCAGCATATTTTTCTTGAACGAATTGGCAGTCGTCATTATCCACTTCAGCAGATGTTTGCAAGTTAGCGGCAAGAGAGTTACGGCTTGAACTACTCCCACCTTTGTGAACATGTACTGTATCATCATCATCATCATCATCGTCAAGGCTAATCACTCGCTTCAAAATGGGCTCATTCCTGGTTCTTGGTCGTTTCGAGGCTTTGCCTTTTGATGACTCGGGAAAATCAAGAATGATAACTTCATCATCATCTACAACAATAAACTCGTTCAATATGCCATTTGCACTGCATCTTTTGGTTGGCATTCTATTCCAAGAACGTGATCTAATCTGACGTTGCTCCCCCATTTCTTAAGGAGAATGCAGGAACTTGTATATGAGTCTTCAAAGCATCCTTTTCGAGGAGAATTCAGAGCTGCGGTCGCAGATAGCATATAACTAAACCACCTACGATCACAGAAAACGCAAATTACACATCATTACAACTATAAACTTCCTGGACAGGATTCAAATTTGCTGAAACCATTCTTATTCCCCAAAAAACCTTCTTTGGAATATCAATTTTGGTTTCTCATCAACATCTCACTAACGTGGGATCAGCTAGAACGATATCAGGTAACAAATCAAAAATAGAATTTGATGACGATTCAGTAAACGCTACGAGACCAAGACGCGATCATATAGGCCTGAACTAAGTTTCTCGAATCTTCCGAACAAAACCCTTTTACATCGAGCGGCTGAAATCGAAAATTGCGACGTATCTAGGTTCTATGGTTTCATCATCGAGCAGATTAGCAAAGAAATGAATCATATACAAAACTTTGAAAAGTGCCCACTCATTCGAGGATCGAAGTGAGCAGAGATTTGAAGACAATCAAACTAACCTCTCGACCACGACGACGAACGACGGGATTTTGTTGCTTAACCGGAACCCTAATTTTTGGGTTTGAGAAGAAAAAAATACAAAAGAAAAAAAAACCATAAAACGCAGTTTTCGGAGAAGATCGTGAAAGGAAAGAAGATGAGATAGAGCGACTCGTGCCCTGCACCTCAAGAGACGTGGCTTAATGTTCAACAGCTTGACCGACGAATCAGAGAAATCGGTATCGCTCGCTGATTGGTCCGTCTTAGGATTAGGTGTGAAATTAGTGTCACTTTAAAAACATATCTCTCTCCCTTTGTATTAATATTCTCACCTTCAGAAAGTCTCCCCCTTTCTTAGGGTGTATACTGTATAGTGTATACTCTATAGTTTACTTTAGACCCTAATTTCTAAAACACCTTCCCTTTTTTCTTTGGGTGATTGATAGGTTTTTGAACGTTTTATTTACAATTTTGAAAAAAAATTCTTTACGGAAACTTATGTAAAGTAGGTGAGATTGGTCAAATTTTATCTATCCAAACTAACACAAGTTGGAAGATACGTCGGATATAGGGTGATAAGTGTTTTAATTAGAACTCTTATTAGGTTTTTGAACATTGAGACATGTTTAAATTCAAATTCGGTTTTACAGTTATTTTGTCCTATATATTGTTGTTTCTGGTGACAAATAAATATGATAAGAGGTCGTGCTTGAGAGAGCTGAAAAATGTAACAATCCAAAAAATGTATAGACCACTTTTTAAGATTCTAATCGTCACAACTACCATTCGATCATGTGATTTTTTGGATTACTCCAAAATATTTTCCAATCGTGTTATCGGCTTGTAATAAAAAAAAATAGTTAATGAATGAATTATGGAGAATTTGCTTTTTATGGAATTATCATGCCTTAAAATCTTTAAATAACTAGGAATTCAGTACATGATAATCCTATTCCAACTAGTTATTAATGGACTCGCTTCCTAACAAAATCAGATCCTTTTGTGATCTCCAATCCTCATCCAATTAGGTTCAATATAATCCGAATAAACACTCACTTTTTGAGGTTTCCTAGTCAAAATCCAAATAGTATGTCTTTTCTTGGGCATTTTCTTCTGGGGCTTCTTTTTGGTCCAATATATTGGCTAAGATGTCTTTGGTCTCTTCAAATACCATTGTGCATCATTCATTTGTTTAGCCTTGGCTGATCAATTTACGTTTGCCCAACTTCGAGTGGTCATGGCGTGTTCTACGTTGATTTGTTCCTAATAAAATGATTACTTTTATCCATATAACAAGGGGAAAAATGCCAAAAAATACCTCATTTATTTAATTTTTGGAAGAATCACCCACGAACTTTTAGCGTTGCCAGAAATCCACCTAAACTATTTTTTCGATGTATAAAAATACATAATTTTTTAAAAATTCCATTTTGCCTTGTCTGATATCACGGCCGTTAACGGACATAACGGAATCAATAAACAGCGTTATTTTTTTAGAGAAAAAAATGCTAAAAAATACCCCAACTATTTAATTTTGCCAGAAACCCACACAAACTTTTTGCATTGTCAGAAATCCACACAGGCTATTTTTAATCTATAAAAAGACTCAAACTTTTTAAAGTTTTATTTTCCCTCCTCAAGTTTCACGGTCGTGATGTTAGTTTTTTGTAACACGTGCTAACTACTCTAAGATTGATATCATTGTTACCCTTAGAAAATCTTCAAAACGATTTGGGGAAGAAAAATCTACACCCTAATTTTTCTCTCTCTTTTAGAAATTGAGTGAAATCGATTGAAAAATATGGTTGGTAGTATAAATCGAGTCAGAAACAGTGTGTGTTGTGATATATAAGACTAATAAGAACAATTCGAGGAGATGATGTATATGTTCTAAACATGATTTATTGCTCTATTAACCACATTTTCAACCGATTTCACTCAATTTCTAAAATAGTGAGAGAAAAAAAATAGAATTTAAGTTTTTAAAGGTAATAATGGTATTAATTTGACAGTAACTAACACATGTTATGGAAATTAACGCAGTTTTTCGATTTTGTTATGTCTATAATGACCGTAAAACTTGAGGAGTGAAAATAAAGCTTTAAAAAGTTTGGGTATTTTTATAGATTTAAAAATAGTCTGTGTGGATTTCTGGCAATGTAAAAAGTTTGTGTGGGTTTCTGGCAAAATTAAATAGTTGGGATATTTTTTAGCATTTTTTCTTACAAAAAATTAACGCTGTTTATTGATTCTGTTATGTCCGTTAACGGCCGTGATATCAAAGAGGGGAAAATGGAAATTTATGTATTATTATGCATCAAAAAAATAGTTTAGGTGGATTTCTGGCAACGCTAAAAATTTCTTCCAAAAATTAAATAAATGATGTATTTTTTGGTATTTTTCCCAAGTGATTTTGGTCATTTCCAACTCTTTTAAATATATTTTAGCTTTTTCTTGTTTAAGTAAAATAAATCTCATTCATGTTTCTAAAAATTTTAAAGAAATTTCAGATTTATGCAAGGAACAAATAACCTCTTTAATTGATACATCAAAAGCCAGAACGTCTAATCAACCCACAAAGGGGTCTTGTTCTTCTTGGATTCACAACTTCTTGTATAGGCCTTGTATCAAAAACAAAAGTTTTTGAAATATTGTGGCATTGGACAAGATATATGATGGATGCCCAATAAGAAAAGATTTTTTTATTATTTTTTTGGTAAAAATCCCAATAAGAAAAGATTGTAAGACATTTGTACAAATATAAGTTGCTGATAAGAAAGTGTTCAAATGTTATCAAGTGGAAAGAGGACGATCCTCATCACCTTCGTGAAAATGTGAATCTTTATAGAGACGATGACAAATTTGAATCTAGATGTTTGAAATTCAAAGAAAAAACCCAAATTGACAAAAAAAAAAAAAAATTATAAAGATCAATGAGTTGAAGAACATTGGTAATAGTCATTACAGAAAAACAAAACAAAAAAAAACCTAAGAGATTAAAAAGAGTCAATGAGAGGTGGTTGTGGGATTAGGTTGAAGCATTGAAGGAAGAACGAGAGGAGACAAGAGAGGGATCGGATCTGTGCCGTTTTGACAAAACGCAGACGCAGACGCGGAAACGCCGGTCGCAGAAGGAGCTTCCGCAGAAAGAGGAGGTCTTGGTGGTAATAAGAGAGGACAAGGAGCTCGTCTCTGGAGTCGGCAGCTAAGAGATCGCCGGAAAACGCAATCGTCCTTGTGACAACTCATCTCAAATCCTGGAAATGGATCTCCTTTACGCCCTGAATCCTCCATTTTTTCCTCTTCGATTCTTGATTCTTGATTCTTGGTTCTTGATTCAAATTGATAACGTATCAACTTTCTTTTTTTGGTGGATTGGTGTTTGCGTTTGTGAAGTTGATATTAATGTTGGTGCTTGTTTTTTTTTCCTTGAAGGGTTTAAATCTGATTTTTAAAGAGGAAGAAGATTGGAAATTGGGTTGCTTAGCGTGAGGATTTTAATAGAGTAATTAATTGAATGGATAACAATAGCAACTAAGGAAAAAAAAATAAACAAAAAAAAGTAGAAATTAGAAAATTGGGTTAAAGTGTGGTAGTTGTGTGGTGCGTGTATTGACTCAATATGGCAACAACAAAAAAAGAATCAATAAAAAAATTGGTCAATGGTCAATAGATTGGATAGGTATGAGATTATGTTATGTTTAGTGTGTTTTCTTTTTTTACATATGTTATGTTTAGTCTTATAGATGAGTTTTGGCATGAGGAATGCGTTATTGTTCTTGTTAGAAACATGTGGCCGCTTTCGGCTGTGTATTTATTTTTAGCTAATTCATCTAGAGAAAAATGAAAAACTCATCGTGTTTTTAGTATATATGTCACGCAATTTAGATATTTTCTTTCAAATCATACTCTAAATATATTAACCATTCATGTTAAAACGTGTAAAGTTTAGAAAAAAAAAACAAAAATACTTCTTCTCAGAACTAATATTACATACTATGGAACGAAACTAATATTATATGCTGTGATTTCGGGTTTGAAGAGAATACAAAATTAGTCCAAAACCTCATGATAATCCAAAAAAAAATGTGTAAAGTAAAACAAAAACACTTCTTCTCATTGTTGGGACGACTGTAGGGGTATAAAATCCTACACAGATAATAAAATGATTAGTGTAACGCCTAACACATGACTAATTAGTTAGCTTAAAATATAAATGTATCTAGATCTAACTTCGGACACAACATTATAATACATTATATTTTATAATTTTGTGATTTATAAAATATAATGTGTTTTGTTTAATAACCGGAAAAATCTTTTAATACATCTAATATAATATAGCAAAAGTGATTAACAATCTATGTTTCATCTTTTTAATTTTCAAAACCACCCTGATTCAGGTGTTAACGTAAGTCATAAACTCGTCTTCTTCATCTTTTTAATTTTTAGATTTTTTTTTCTACTTTCGACGATCTAGCAAGATCACCACCAACTGCAGAGCGAGTCACACTCACACATACGAACAGACCTCTTTTAACTCTTAAAAAAACATGAATAAAATAATAAAACTCCAAGACTGGACGATTCAGAGACCGGATCACCGGAATTTTTTAGGATAATTCCATATGTTTTTGGACTTGTAACAAACAAATTTTGGAGGGAGACCCGGATTGGATAAATGATTGGGTCGTCGATTATTTGGTTCAACTAACCAGTCATGTCCGAGTCTGAAAACATTGTTAACAACAGAGGTGCAAACTCACAATTTCGTGAGTGATACAACATATAAACCATGCATGTTATTAAATTATGTAGTCTTTTTTTAAAAAAAAAATTTGTAGTCTAGTAATAAAAAAGACATTAGTCTTCAAATTCATAAATCAAAAGACAATCCATGAAACTTTAAAGAGATTTCCTCTGCCATGAGGTGTCTTCAAACCCACACATAATAAAGCCATGTATTGAGATTGAACAAGGATGAGACGAGTCACGTGTTAATATGTTAAGTTCAGTAATTGTGAGAACATGTAAACTTAACAATGCATGTGAAAAAATGGGCGGTGTAAGAATATGAATAATATTAAGCTTTTGTAGTGGGGAGGTTTCACTTGGTTGGTCTCTCCATGTGACTCGAGAATCTATACTCTACACATATCATCGACATAGTTTCAGTAAACACGCCTTATAAAGTTTTCAGTGACAATATCTCCACAGTCCACACTCTCACATGTTCCTTTCATTAAATATAGCTTCTTATAATCTTGTGGTATCATATATATATATATATATATATATATATATCATTTGAAATCTTTATATATCTATATTATTATTTGAATACTCATTATAATGAACCTTAATTTGTAAAAATTACATAATCTTTTACATAAATTAACCTTTTTTGTAAGATATTATATAACTAAATCTTATATTTTAATTGACTAGGTTATAAAAAAATTTGGTGGACCCAAATTGCAGATCCTAAATAATAATAATCTGGACCAAAATTATTTTAGAAACAATATTTCTAATCTATAAAAGAATATATATGAAAACAAAATCTATGAGAAAATATAATCATCATTATGAAAAAAAAGTTTTAATCTACGAGTAAATACATATATGTTTTATGTGATTTCATAATCTCCCTCTTTCTGCTAAAAATTATCTTATATACGTGTTAATTCATTTTTTATACTTCAGTCTAAAAAATAAAAACTGATTTTATATATAAACTAACTTATTTTTTAAAATTCAACCCAAAAATATATATATTATATTATCATAAATTTATAATAATAACTGTTTTTACAAAATAACTATTTTTATAAAATTATTTTATTTAATTGAAAATCAAACAAATTTCTCGCGCTCTGTAGAGCGCAGGTTAATCCCTAATATTTTTTCAAAATTTATAGACTTCCATTGCAAAATAAAAACTATATATGTGAGGGCAGTGAGGCCGTGCCTGGATGTAACAAGAAAAACAAATAAACAAGCAGATTACTTATGTAGTTATTTATAGAAGTCTGAAAGGTTTCTTAGATATTTTTTCATATAGTATATGGTTAGTGTAAGTAGTTTTGGTTAGAGTGTAAGTAGTATTTTTCACATTTACAATGTAAGTGGACGTAAATATATAATTCATTTAATATATGAGGGTTAATAAAAAAATCAGTATCGGATCGTTATCTCACACAAACACACAAATATAATAATTACATCTATAATTTAGCTGTTGATTGGTTCAGCCACTATCACCCACAAATGCAGCGTTTGCGGTTGATAACGTTTAGTGGTGTTTTATCACAATTATAGAAATTGTTGCAAACCGTTCTGTATCATTTTATACTGTTGAAATCCAAAAGCTGCTTTCCGCCAGCGTTTGCGGTTGCCGGCGATAGTGGTTAGGTATAAAAATAAATAAATTTACGCTAGAAAAAAAAGATTATGTTAAAAACAATTATAAAACTCTAACCCTACTAATCTTCTCTTATATTATATGATACGAGCATGGAAACAAGCATGGAACCAAGTGACAACCCTGAGGCCAAGCAGCCGGACTGGACGAGGGACATGGACGGGACGCGGGACATGAGACAAAACCCGATAGATGATCTGATCGTTTCAAGTGGGCCGATGACACGGTCACGCGCCAAAAAGCTATTAATGGCCGTTTGGAGGTTATGTTCCGATTAGTGGACCAGGAACTCGGACGCTGCACCAGATGACCAAGCCGTAACGCTTCTGACCTATTCGGACGGTGTAGCTCCTTAATACTCTTTTTCCTTACACTCGGGTTTGTCCCAATGGGTTTACCGGGTGAGGTTGTAACGAGGTTAAGGGTTACACCAACTCGTTGTCCGTAGTTGTTAGTTAGTCGTTACGAGAAAAGGGAGGCGAAAGATCACTCGCGGAGAGAGCCGAAAAGTCAGTCAAGGGAGCCGAGTGGTCATTCAACTAGCCTTAATGTTTTCATTTAATTTCTTATGTCTTTTGCACTTCTCTTTCGCCTCTATATAAAGGACCAGACTCTTATGTATTTGGCATTCACCTTTTTATCAAATATTTTTGAGATTTTCTCTTGTTCTTCTTGAGTTTTCTTTCTTTGGTGGTTAGCCTTGAAAGTTTATTTGGTTTATCGGATTCAGTCCATAGAATTCGACGCAGCCTCTATCTTCCATCTTGTTTCCGATTTCGTTCAGAGTAGTTTAGGGGCAACAGGATTTTCGAGACTTGTCTCACGCCTGTTCATCCTATACCCGCGAGATCTCAAACTCGGTGAAATCACTGTCTCGTTCTCAATCCGTTTTCGCGAGTTGAGCCTAAGAATATTCGAGATAACCTCTCACGCCTTAGCATCTCTCCGAGCAACTGATACAGGCCGAGTCCTATCAACTTCAACCGATTTAGCAAGTGCAAATCCTTAGGAGGATCGTATCAATATATATATCTTAACCTCTCACTTTTTTATCAATTTTTAGTCTATAATCATGGCTTTCCATATCAGTTGAAGAAAATTAAAATACAAGCATAAGTGTCATAATACTTTAGTTTAATTTATTTATATTAATTATTCTGTTTCCACTTTTAAATTTAAAGTAAGAAATTATAAATATGTATCTTATTAATTACAAAATTAGTTTGTTATAATTCTTTTTTTTGTTCTTCAGAAAGTTACATGATCAAACGAGATGACATGTGCGTTACTTCAACGGATCATTGTAGAAAAACAAAGTCAAGATAAATATCTTAGATTTTTTAGTGCACTCTAGAAAGAACGTATTTTGAAGAATACTAATGAGCAATTTGGAGTTGATTTGAGTTGGGATCGTGTAAAAAATCGATTAGATCAATTGAAGAAGTTTTACATCATGCATAAGACAAATCAAGAAGATCCACGTATTTGAGCAAATTTTTTCTAGTCTATTACATTACTAGATACAACTTTGGGTGATGTTCTGAATAATTGAAATAAAACATATTATTATAAAAAATTTAATTTTTAAAATAATGATTTAGTATTTATTTATAATTTATTAATTATTTTAAACTATTGATTTTGATATTAATCACAATAATATAGTTTTTTCTGTTTTTTATAATTATATATGATATTTATTTTGGTAATTTTATGTTTAACCGCTAAAACAATTGCTGGTTTGCCAGTTAAAATTGTCCCGCAAACGAATCTGCATTAAAATATTTAACTAATCGTGCAAACTGCTGAATAACACTCAAAACTGTCCAGCTTTTACAAACTCTCGCATTCGCAACCGCTACCGCTGGATTTAAATCAGTTAAGCCCAACGAGGATTATTTGGAACCATCTATTAAATTAGGGAGCGAATTGGGAAAAACGAGGATATTGGTCCCAAAGCCATACGTATTTCGTTCCAAAATAGCAAAAGTCATTTGGAATTATCCAATTATGAAAATTTGCAGCCCCCACAAATCCGTCTTATTTAAATTATTTTCATATATTGTTTTTAGGGTCATGAAAACTTTCATTTGACATGAACTATTTTTTTTTTTGTAACAGACATGAACATTTCACGCTGCAACATCTGAATATTAAGATGGTTCAATGGGGATAATTATGAGAATTTGATATACAAGAAAAGAAGGTTAACACTTAACACTTAGTCATGACATCAACTAAAACCCTTTGTCTTTTACTCTACCCAACGTTGGATCCTAGACCAAGAATTAAGGTTATATCTGGTGATAAATTTACAGATTCTTCTCAAGTTTAAAGCAGTTAAAACCTAGAGGAGATTGAAGCTCTCAGCTAAGTGAAAGATGTTCTTCAAGAGTAGGACCTAACAAGGCCAAAGTTGACGAAAGATTTCGACTTGAAGAGACCCCCAAAGAGAAACCTGGTCGGTGATTCTTGGGAAGGAGATTTCTGTCTTTGTTGTTGTTCTTCAGGGTTGTTCTTAACTTTGAGGATAGTTTGGCCTATGGTTTGTCTTATGGAATCTAAGGTCTTTGCATCAATTGAGTAACCAGAAGCATCGCTGACATAGAATGTGTTCAGAGCTTTGCCTCCTTTGGTTTTCACTTCAGCTCTTGTGACCGTTAAGCTGTTTTCACGGAATATGCGAGTCACGTTAGATAACAATCCAACTCTATCCGTTGTGCACAGCTCCAGCTTCAATCCCTGAAACATCAATGAGGAGAAGACAATGATCTTCAGGTACAATTACAAAAATATTATGAAGCAGAAACTATATATGGTGGATCTTTACCTCAGATACTCTTCTTTTGATAGCTGCTTCGAGACATTGTATGACTCTTTGCTTCTCTGCCTCTGATTTTACAGGAGATCCATCTATATGTCTCACATAATACTCCTGCAAAGCGAAAGCTAAACCCGTGAGCAAAAGTAACACAAGAAAAGATTCAGTGTAAACTTTCTGCTCTGTGTGGCTTTACCTGATACGCCTCTGTTCCATCAGTATCAACGCTTCCGTGGAACACAACATACTGCATATCAGTCAAAGTGCAGACTGTGTCGAACAGAAGCTTTGGTCTGTCTTTACATCTAACAGTGACCACGGAGTAATCTTTATCGAGCCAATTATCAACACAAACATCTGGTCTTTGCCTTTCATCTTGTATGGAGGAATCATCGTCCACCACACGGTGTTCATAATCTCTATCTTCAAACATCATCTGATGAAGCCTCCGATCCGTGTGAACCTCTCCTTGAGACACAACGGTTTTGGCTTCCCTAGGTGTGTTGCTTCCCTTGAGCACATTTCGGAGAAGGTTTTTGATCCGAGACAACCTCTCTGGATCAGAAATGGCACACCCGGTTGAGTCATCTGTCACCTGCATCACAGCAGCTGCTCTGGTGTTGTGTGTCCAAACCTCGGCGTTAAGGACACTGCACTTGAGGTGGGTTAGGACAGCTGTCAGCTCAGACAGCAAACCTGGTCTGTCACATCCTGTTAACTCGATAACCGTGCTGTCTGTTGATGGTATGACACCAACAGTTCTCATGGAAGAGGAGAAACAAGCTTCAGGCCCAAGAGACTGAGAATTTAACCACACCATTATCATTAGACTCATTTTTACACATAAATAACTACCAGAGGAAAAAAAAATCTTGTTTAAAAACTCACTTTTTGGATATAGTCTAGAACAACTTCGTCTGTGACTTTGTTTCCATCTTGGTCAGTGACATTAAATACTGGCAAGTGCAGAGAGATTAAGAGTAAATCAATTCCTTGTTCAAAAGTATATGAGAATTCAAAAGATCATTAGTAAATTGGAGCATACCATCCATGAACCAACCACCATCAGAGGATATGTAAGCCTTGGTTATAGTAAGGTTAAGATCAGTGAGGATTTGCACAACTTCAAGAAGAATCCCATATTCATTTGCACTATCCACCTGAAACATTACAAACCGATGAAGAGGTGTAAGAAAACCAAAATTAAGAACAATAGGCTAGGTAATAATCAGAAGATTGAACATGAACAAAAAAGAAAAGTACCCTTATCACAGTTGCGTTCTTGCAAGAGTCATTATCAATCACAACCCTAAAAATGAAAAACAGAGGTTATGAATATCACAGATTTTTCAAATGGTATATAACAAAATAAAAGGAGGAGAACAAGTTAAAATTACCTCGGTGGATTCATTCTCCTAATGAGTTTCTCGTACTCATCATCCACATCTTGTGAAAAACTCATGCTAACATCTGTAACCAAAATCCCAAAAACTGTGAGAGATTATTCCTTGTGTGTAACTTTAACAAAATCCAAAATCCAAAACTTTCTAAACCGCAGACCAAAGAAGTTTTCTATCTGATAAAACCCATGAAAAAAATTATAACTTTTCTCTCTGTTTTCTTGTGGAAGAGTGAACAAGGAGAGAGAAGAAGCACAACTACCATAGCAAATTACAGGTCATGTACATAAAAACAGAGATCCCACCGACATCAAATCCTAAATAGCTTCTAAAAGCTAACAGAGAAACCCAGAAGAAGAAGAAGAACAAAATCCCTGATTTTATAATCATGTCAACAAACGCCTCTTGCCCAAAATCGTATGAAAAAAAAAAACTCCCCCAAAAACAGAAACTGAAACGAGTCAAACAATGAGAGGAAGAACAAGACGAAAGAAAAACGAGACGTACCCATTATTGTTCCTTTTGGGTTTGTTTTCCACTCTTCGATTCTCGACACTTGATAAGAAAAAAAAAAGTAAAGCAGTTCAGTAAGTTTCGAAGAGGAAAAGGTTGGAGAAAGACCTGCATAAATAATGGCGACCCACAAGATTTTTTCACACTCTGTTAATTTTTTAATATTTCTAAACAATTTAAATTAATCAAGAAAATAAAAAAAAAAAGGAAAATAATCTGACACGATTCTCCCATAAACGAGCAACTCACAGGAATTTTTTCATTAGATAACTTTTATTTTACTTCACTTTCCCGCGGCTTCCATCGGAAAATAAAAATAAAAATTTGCTATTGTTCTTATTATACGGTGAAGAAGAAGGAAAGAAAAGATGGATGAACTGTAACTTTCGGTGCATATTAGCATCGACCGTCGACTTCTCGCAAGACATGTGGTGAGAATTTGCTAATATGCGCGGAAGGGTAACATGTTAAATATCTTTTTAATTAGTTTATTTTTAATATTTTTGACCACGTGATGGTAAATAAATACTGGATATTAGTAATAAACGACATGGTCTTCTTCTTCTAATCGGGTCACCCAAAGTTCTCGGAGCAGAAGTGAAAATAAATAAATGTTACTGTTTCGAATTTTTAGCCGATTCTCTGATACTAAAGATTGGATCGGGTAATAAAGATTCTGATGAAAAAGAAATGATATGATTCCATCTTTTATCTTCTACGAAAATATATATATTCCATCGTGAAGAGATTCATAACCCTTATATATTCTATCGAATATTGGATTACAGAATGTGCCATAATGAAGAATATTTTCTTTTTTTCCCCTAACTTATGCGCCAAAAAGGAATAAAATAGGATATGGTTATTTCCATTTCAAATCAGGAAAACAAAATGACTGCAAATGGGTTTTTTGAGAGCGACCATATGGAATAATATCTTGTACCGTATCAAATTATTGTCTAACGTTTGTTTCCTTATATTTATAACTTACAATATAGAGCGAGAAAAAAAATCAATAGTAAAAGCCCTCAAAACTTGCAAAACTGATAAAAGAGACCCTGAAATGCAGAAATAATAGATACATCATGTGTGTTGTGTTAAACGTACATTGACGATCATTTATTAATGCAATCAAACCAAGTAATTAAAAAAAACGTACTAGTGTCTGTGTTACGACTAACGATCAACACAAGTTACTCAACAGTTTTCTCTAAAGATTCTGTAGATGTAACAGAATAAAATTACAATCAAGATTCAAGAATGAAGCAATGCTACACATAAATGTGGAGAGAGGTGGATGTGAAATAAAAAGAATATCATAATTCATAACGTAAAAATAAAACGCTTTAACAGAGGGGAAATTGTACTCTTCCTTACGTACTATTGACCGTACCTCCATATCTCTTTTTCACAATATTCCATTAAAAGATATATTATTATTCTTATCATATTAGAATTTTATAACAGTATTATACATACCAGATTATAAAATAAAATACATGAGGTTTCACGGCATTTTCCGTGTTCTTCAACAACCGAAACTATGAAATTTAATTATGTGTGAGTTTAAACACACACCATTTATGCTTCATTTTTCTTTGTAAGAAAGTGAGTTCCATTTTAAAAAATACTACTATTAGATTTATGTTCGGGAAACAATGATAGATATTGGACATGTTACTCTTTGAAAAATGGTAGAAAAAAGTGTTTTCGTAGTGTATACAGTGATTACGTGGAAAAATAAGATGCACGACAAATTCTCATGATGGAAAAAAACTAGTTGGTGTTTTCTGTCATGTGAAAAATCATTATTACTGATATAGCTAAGAATTAAGATGTATATAACAAAGTAACAAACTATAAGCTTGCTTTACTTTCAACAATATGAAAAGAAAAAAAAGGACGTGAGTTTCAAACCATTTTTTTCTCTTAACGAAACTTGAAAACAAAAATGACCGACAGAGTGAAAAAATTCAGGGAACAAACCAATAAAACATATTAAAAGAAGGAAAAATAAATAAATGTGATGTTATCCTATATATATTTGAGACATTGAAAATTATAAAAACAAGTAGGACGTAAACCAAGTGTGTGACAGTGTAAGTAACCAAGGTTAGAAAGTGACCAGAGGAATGGGTTAAGAAAAAAAAAAACAAAAAACAAAAAGGAAACAAGTAGCGGCCAACAGAATTAAATGGAGAGTTGGGTTTAGATGCAGTCACATGGTTAGGCCAAGCGTCGTGCTGCATCAGCCGGTTTTTTTGTTTTTGTTGTTCTAGGGTTTAGGGATCTGCTATGGCCGCACCTACCTTTCTCTTACCGTGTTCCCTCTCCTCTAATCACAGTCTTTACTTATTTATCACACGTTTTGTGTACCTCTCCACTTGATCATCTCCAAGTTATTATTTAAACCTAACTTAAAATTATCGTCATTTATCTCAAATATACATAGGATTTCCTTATTGATTTCAGTGTTTAAAATTATCGTCAAGGCGCGAGATAGCTTGTAGTATTTTGATTTTATGGGAATAAAATTTGTACATAATATGTTAAAATGATTGATTTGATTATATGTATCACAAAATATTATATTTTCTGTTTTACTCATCTCCGATATATTTCATAATAGACCTTAAACCATTATCGGATAGTATTTGGACTTCTCCTGATAATTAAGTTTTTTAGTCCAGTCTCATTGTTCATTTTAAGTACAGCATTAGAATTGTTTGAGGGATATATTGTTTTCGTCCCCTAGAGATTGTTTTGAACGTAACATGTTAGTGTTGACAATATTTGTCATTTATAAAGGTAGACACAGCCCCAAGATGACAAGTATTTCAAATTTTCCGAAGCGGTGAACGAAAAGAACTGAACGTGAAGGTCCACAAATGGTGGTAATCGAGGTGTTTCATAACTAGCATGTGAGTTGGATTTAGCAACGATTTTTTTCTAAATTGGTTTCTACTACTATTGTTTTAAATAGAATAATTCTGATATACATCGAGTCAATCAAGAGAGGCTAAATTATTGGTGTAATCTATGCTCAGAATTTTATAGAATCCTTTATTACTTTTACTGTGTAAATGACAGATATATTTGCCCACATTGTCGCAATTCAATACGACACATGGTTAATAATATCTACTATGATTGGCTTCTATAGGTAAGGAAAAATAAATAAAAATTTACATGGATTAACGGAGTGACGAATAGTGAAATAGTTGCCAATATACTATTTATAAAACCCTGTATTGTGTGTGTGTTCGAGGTCGTTGGTCCAAAAGGTTGCTTTCGGAGATCGCAGACAAGGGTTTAGCTAAAAAGAGGATATTTATAAAATATATATAAATGTCCTCCGAATCGAAGTGATGTGAAGGCACCATGTTCCTTATAAGTTCATGGTTTTGTCTTGTCGAGATTCAAGCGCGGGGCTCTATATATCTACACACGTAGATGGCCTAGTCACTACTTAGTCACCAAACTTGGATTTTCCCTATTGTCTTTTTAATTAATCTGGTCAAACTTGAGATTATCTTCTATTAGGTTAATGTTCGTGCATTGTTAGTCTTACTTAATGGTGGAAGTAAGCCTGGGCAAAAAACCCGGATCCGAATATCCGAACCGGAACCGAACCGAAATAGAGGTACCGAATCTGAACCGAAATTTTTAAAAATATGCGATGGATCTTAAACTCTTATACCCGAAGAACCGGAACCGAACTAGTACCGAACCGAGAACCGATTGGGTACCCGAATTATCCAAAATATAATTATATATCCTTTTAAATATTAGTTTTTTTTTGATATTTTTGATATTTGGTATATATTTCTGGTTTTACAGATATATTTTCTTTATTTTTGGGACTTTTGGGTATATTTTTAAGTTTTGATATATATATTTTTGAATTTTTGTTATTAAAAAAGTGTGAGTCGAATTAAAAATTTGAGGCAAAAGATCCGGATCCGATTATCCGAACGGGAACCGAACCGAAATAAAGGTACCGAACCCGAACCTAAATTTATAAAAATACCCGATGGATCTTAACTTCCTCTACCCGAAATATCTGGAACCGATTGGTTCCAAACCGAAACCGAACCGAATATCCGAATGCCCAGGCTTAGGTGGAGGCATGCAGTAGAGACTAGAGAATAGAGATTATTTTTATTTTATCATCTGCTAGAGAGTAGATATTATTTTAACGGTAAAAAATGCAACATGGTTTGAAACCATAAGACAACGGCAGGACAAAAAAGATAACAGAGTTTTAAAAAATTAGTTGATACTAGTATAACAGTTTGAATAATAATAAATAAAAAAAGAAATGGAATTGTAATTGAAAGTTGTCTGGTTACTTATGCCTTTGGTAAAAATGAAAATAAAATTGTCTAGTTACTTCCAAATATTGGTTAAATCAAATAATTATTCAATTAGGTTGCTCTAACTAGAAAAGATAAATGTACAAAAAGGAAGATTCTTAGCGTTACCAACCAAACAACGGCCTTTAGAGTTGAAATGATGAAGAAAATTCTCAAAATGTGTCATAAAAATCAGCTACTGCAAATGGGTTAACATCAACTTCACCAACTAAAACAATCTATTTGGGAAGGCGATAAAACTATGAAGTGACAATTCATAACTAATTTCGAAACCACACATGAATTTTTTTTGAAATTAGTTATGAATTGTCACAACAAAATCACACATGAGAAGTTTTTGAAATTAGTATGAAGAGGAGTAGGTATGGTTGAAGTGTTGAACCATTGTTTCTTACATATGTTTGAATATATCGCCAGATTGTTAAAGTTATACTTATGATCAGTTATAATGTTATACAATAATTATTTTCGCATAAGGAAAAAGGTATTTGGTTTTTGTTTTAACAGCAGAAAAGGGGATTTGGACAATGAAATTAAGGAGCAAAATGTTTGTGGCCGACC